AATGTTTTTGTGCCAATTTCCATTATATTCTGTTTCTTTATTTTCCTTTTCACTTTCGTTGCGTGACCAAATCAGCCTTATATTGGTTCGGTCACTTGAGAAACAAACAAAAAAATAATTAACTATAGCTCAATTAATAACTCAATGTTGTTGTCTCACTCACGTTGGTGGTGTCCGCTCAAGTGCTGCAGAAAGAAGTGAAGCAGAAAATGTATATATGTATGTATGATGAAAAGTAGAGCTCTCCCCCTTTCGTAAATTTATCATATTTAGTATACTTTCTATTGTTAGCCACTTGAATATTTCAAAATTTTATAAATTTCATTATAATAGAAATGACCACTTCTGCATGCCAAATAACGCAGACCAAGAGAAGAAGAAGATGAATTTAAAACATTTTCCATTTATCACAATTTTACGAACCAACTCTTCAAATTCACACCCCAAATGTATACCCGAAGACCCAATTTGGCACGTACGCGAAAATATCTGAAATACATACATACATACATATGTAGATGTAGGATTATGAGTGCTCAAATTTTCTACTTTAACTTTGTGGTTTTGCCAAATATATTGCAGTGGTTTCTACAATACTACACTTCAAATTAATTCATACGAACATTTTTGTAAGGAATAAGTGTTGAAACCATTGAAATAAGCTCAACTGCATATATGAAACATTCGTCAGATATATTTTATAGCGTGTTATGTTTATCGCGAATAATGCGCCAAAATTAATAACTAAAAAAAAATAGTTTTAGCAGAAATTTCTTTTCACTCATTCTAAAATATGTCCGGCAAAAATAGAAATTTAAATAAAATAAATGTTTACTTATGTCTTTTCTTCAAATTTTTTCTTTAGCAATAGTAATATATATGTAAAAAATAAACTATGCATACTTACAGGCGTTCAACACATGGGCAATTCACACTTGCCATATCTTGATATAAGCTAAATTTGGTGCTTAGCAGAGGAGCTTATCTCAGCGAAACTCTCACAAGCAAAATGCAATCTAAAACACTCACTCTTAAGTTCAAATGAGTGCTGAATATATATGTATAGATATAGGGTACTTTCGCTTCATGGTTACAAAAGTACAGAGCTGATTTTGGTATCGGTCAGTTCTGAGAGTTATGGTCTCATGATAACCGACTTTTCTAGCCTGAAATATGTGGTTTCAAAAAGATAGTGCCACAGCCCACACAACACGGGCGAATATTACGAGAGAAATTACCCGGCCGCGTAATCTCTTGTCTTGGCAATGTCTATTGGCCACCGAGAGCATGCAATTAGACACCCTTGGACTTCTTTTTTTAAAGAGCCTGGATAAAAACCGTGTGTATGCGGGAAACACTTTAATCGTTGAACGCTTGAAGACCAACCTTAGTTCGCTGAAGGGAATGTCGAAAAGTATTAATAGAAATCTGTTAATTTAATAGCGCTACTCCGGCAACGATCGCTAAACAGGCAATATCACTATTGGCCGAAGGAATCTGCCTAAAACTATGCATAGTCAGAGTTCATGCGGCTCAAAAAAATGTATTTGCTTTTATTAACGAGAAATATTCAAAATCACTACAAATATCACTACTATCGCTATCTGTCATGTAGGTGTGTATGGGATTTTCTCAAATTGCAACTCACTGTTTTGGCGCATAGTTCTTCACTCAACCTCCGTTCACGTTGTCTGATCATAGTTTTCTTAACGGTTTCGTAACGCGTACGCCTGTTTACTTCTGAAGTCCAGCACTCGTAATGGTGATACTTCAAAAAATGTAAATATAATGTATTCACTGATATTTACATTTTATTATTTTTTATAAAGACCGCCCAAAGTACGACGGAAATTTGTTTACTAGCTCATAATATGAAAGAAATATGTATACTTGTATTATAGTGTCTGAGCTGTTTTCTGCTGAATCATTCGCTGAGAGAAATAACACCACGAACACAAAAAAATTTAAAAAGCACAAAACATATAACTCGTACATATTTATAAGAAGCAGACAAAACCAATGCGATAACATTTTGACAATGACTTGAAGAGTTCGCTAGACAGCAGAGAGCCTGTTCTTTTCTACAAGAAATTCGCCTATAAGTAGCATACAATTCGATGGGTAGATTGTAGTTATATTTTTTTAGCGTTTACAAGAGGTTTAGAATTCTAAGTAAAGAGATTTTCTTCGAATAAATATAAGCAATGAGCGTGTTTCTGGCTTTGCTCGTGCTCAGTGTTACGATCTTTGGGTTATTCCTCAAGTACCGTCATGGTTTTTGGCAACGACGCGGCATACCACATGAAGTCCCCAGCTTTCCCATGGGCGATTTTAAGGAATGGCGCACTACAAAGGGGTTCTTTGAGATAATCGGGCCTATATATAAGAAATACAAGGGCACAGCCCCATTTGCCGGCATGTTTCTAGTCTTCAGACCCGTGGCACTTATACTCGATATGGACTTAGTGAAAAATATACTCATTAAAGACTTCAATAATTTTCGTGACCGTGGCGTATTCAGCAATCAACGAGACGATCCGCTAACGGGGCATCTCTTCGCTTTGGATGGTACTAAATGGCGTGATTTGCGTCAAAAACTCACATCGGTCTTCAGTTCAGGCAAAATGAAGTACATGTACCCGACCGTCATTAAAGTGGCTGAAGATTTTAGAAAAGTTTTGGAGGAAAAGCAGGCAACAGCCGTCGGTGGTGTTATTGAGATGAGCGAACTGCTCTCCCGTTTCACTGCCGATGTCATTGGCGTATGCGCTTTCGGCATCGATTGCAATTGTCTACATGACCCGCAAGCAGAGTTCGTATCAATGTGCAAGCGCGCAGTTATCGAGCGTAGACATAACAAATTCATCGATTCCTTAATGGAGGGGGCCCCGAAGTTGGCGCGTACGCTGCGCATGCGTCAACTGCCGCAAGAGGTGCACGACTTCTACATGGGCATTGTGCATAAAACTATTGAGTATAGAGAGCAGAATAATGTGAAGCGCAATGATCTAATGGATTTGCTCTTAGAATTGAAAAACAAAGGCGACAAAAACTTCGCCTTAACGGTAAATGATATAGCCGCCCAAGCTTTCGTCTTTCTCATAGCCGGTTTGGAGACCTCCTCAACAACAATGGGCTTCGCTCTCTATGAGTTGGCTAAAAACCAGGCTATACAGGACAAATTGCGTGGGGAGATCAGTGATGTGCTCGAGCGACATAATAACGAGTACACCTACGAAGCCATGCAGAATATGCGTTATTTAGATCAAGTGTTTTCAGGTGAGTGAAAAACGGTAGAAAACTAACTTTCAGCGTTCGGAAATAAATACACTAAATTAATTTTTTGTTTGTTTTTTTTTTTTTAAAAGAAACTCTACGCAAATATCCAATAGTGCCACATTTGGTACGCGAAGCGCAAGCTGACTATAAGACCAAAGATCCAAAGTTTATAATCGAGAAAGACATGATGATCATCGTACCCGTGTATCAAATCCAACATGATCCGGAATACTTCCCTGATCCAGAAAAGTTTGATCCGGAACGCTTCACCGAAGCAGAGATCCATAAACGTCCCGCTTGTACTTGGCTTCCCTTTGGCGATGGTCCACGCAATTGTATCGGTATGCGTTTCGGCAGGATGCAGTCGTTGGTCGGTCTCACATATTTACTGAGAAATTTCAAATTTTTTCCTTCTGCCGAAACCGATGAGCAACTATCCTATGACGTAGAAAAAGTTCTACTGCAATCGGCGAATGGCATTAATCTACGTGTGGAGCGTGTATAGAATATGAAATGAGCATGACTTGCGAAAATTTCAAACTTAATTATAGTACATAATTTTTGTTTTGGTTTAAGTATAGCGATAAGAATTGAGCAAAACCAATATTTGGCAAATTTAACTTATTTTGTTGTTGTTATTGTATTTCTTTGTGCTTGAGTGAAAAATTTCCACACTTTAAATAAGGGTAAATCTCTCGGAAACACTTCATTTTACTATTTTAAAACTGAGTAAATTTCACTTCTTCTCTGCGTACGCGTGCCAACAGCCGTCCGCTAACATATATTAATCGCGCTTCCTTTTTCCACTTCTATGGTGCAACCTAGAGCCCAATGACACTTTATCATTATCACCCACGACGCTACACTGCCATCGATATTTGTATTTATTTAGCTTGCGATTGTAAATACTTTCTATTCATTTATTTATTTTTTTTTTTTTGTTGCTGTTATAGCGTAACACAATATTAATGGTTTGGTTTGGAGGAAGAACTGCATTTGTTTTGTAATTTTTTTAATAATTTTTTGACATTTTTTAATCTTGCATATGGATTTACAATATATATATAGTCCCTATAGTCGCATCACCTGTTCTCAATGTTCTCTCGAAATGATTTTTGAAGACATATATCTATATCGAGATTTTTTACAAAAGTAATCAAAGATTTTCTAAGCACTGATATCTTCACTAAAAAAGTTAAGGCCCGCTATAAAACTTTATCATCATATTGCAATTTTAGTATATTCGAATGAAAAAACCAAATATTTTAATAAAATCTTTAATTACTTTTAATATTCCAAAAAAGTTTCCTTGCAAAAAATTCTATTGTTTATTTTTTTTTTTTTGACTTATTTTGTCGAAAGAATATTTTATTAACTGGGCACCCTTTATGTACACGCCAATCAAACGCTATCAACAATCAAACAAATGAGAACGGAGAGAGAGCTTTATATTTCACCACTTTGCGAAAGCTCCACCAACACCTTGAGTACAGAAAATAGAATATCTTCTTATGGAATAATTGGTGAATAATTAATTCGCACAGAATATAATTAGTTTAAAATCGTAAAGTACCGAAAATTTATTCATCTAAATCTAAAAAGCATCTAAAATTCATCTAAAATTAAAAGCCCATAAATTTATAAAAAAATTAGTAACAGCATAGACAACTTAGTTTGTTTCTAATGAAGAAACGAAATCTGATAAGCTTCTTTTGATTTGAAATCAGCGAAAATGAGAGATACTCCAGCGCATGTGCGATTTTTTGTTCTTGTTTTCTACAATAAAAAATTATCATTTGTTTACCTTGAGCTCCTCTTCAAATGCCGGCTAGATATATAAATACTGAATGCGAGTTTGCTCCCCACAACTAGTTTTCGAGCGACAGCGTGAAGCTCACAATCTGCTGATATTCCGCATTTTCTGGTAATTGAAAAAAAAACACAAGAAATGTTCGTTTTCTTGGCGCTCATACTGCTATCATCAGCGCTCATCTGGAACGCGCTTAAACGACACTACACCTATTGGCAACGTCGTGGCGTGCCACAGGTGACACCACGTTATGTGGTTGGCAATGTAGAGCGCGCTGCCGGCGGTCAGGTGCAACTACGTTACTTCAATCAGCGTCTCTACGAGGAGTACAAGCAAAGCCGTCCCTTTGTCGGCATGTACATCTTCTTTACGCGCGCTGCGCTCATACTAGATTTGGATGTGATTAGAGATATTTGTATAAGTAAGTTTTCAAATTTTCAAGATCGTGGCGTTTTCGCCAACCCGCGCGATGATCCACTCACCGGTCACCTCTTTCGCCTGGAGGGCGCACAATGGCGTGCCATGCGCAATAAACTTACGCCCGTGTTTTCGTCCGGTAATATGAAATTTATGTTCCCCACCGTAGTGCAGGTGGGCAGTGAGTTGGTGCATGCTTGCCGCAGGGCGATTGAGGAGAATTTATCCGAGGGTAACATCGAAATGAAAGAACTATGTGCGCGTTACACCACCGATGTGATTGGCACTTGCGCTTTTGGTATTGAGTGCAATAGCCTACGCGACCCACAGGCTGAATTTAGACGTCGCGGTCATGCGGTTTTCACCGAACCACGACACACACAACTCGTTCAGACATTCATGTTGATGAATCCAGATTGGGCGCGTCGCATGCGCTTGAAGTTCTTTCCCGATCACATCATACAATTCTACGTGGATGTGGTGCGTCAGACGGTGGAGTTGCGGCAGCGTGAGAAAATTAAGCGTAATGATTTTATGGACTTGCTTATCGCTTTGAAAGCGGATGATGAACGTTTGTCGCTCAACAGTGATGGTATTGATCTCTCGCAGGGTTTGACGCTGCTGCAAATGGTTTCACAGGCTTTTGTCTTCTTTGTGGCTGGTTTCGATACATCCTCCACAACTATGTCATTATGTCTATATGAACTCGCTTTGAATGAGACGATACAGCAAAAGGCTCGTGCAGAAATCGAGCGGGTGCTGGTAGCGTATAACAATCAGCTAACCTACGAGGCATTGAATGAAATGCAGTACCTTGAACAGACTGTAGATGGTAAGTTAAATTGAGGTAATAAAATTCTTAACTTGTTTGATTAATTTCTTCAATTTAGAGACACTCCGCAAATATCCCGTCGTACCTTATCTGGTGCGCAAAGCCAAAGAAGACTACGTGGTGCCAAAAACCAATGAAGTTATCGAGAAGGGTTGCTTAGTGGTTTTGCCTGCGCATGCTATACAGCACGATGCCGTATTATACCCCGAGCCAGATAAGTTTGATCCAGATCGTTTTACACCTGAGCTAAGTCGGAAGCGCCATGCGGCCGCTTACATGCCATTCGGCATCGGACCACGCGCTTGCATTGGCTTACGCTTCGGTAAAATGCAAGCCAAGATTGGGCTAGTCAATTTGCTACGCCACTTTCGATTTAGCAAGTCGCCGCGCACTCAAGTGCCTCTACAATTCACCGAACGCATTTTCCAGATAACTCCCGTCAGTGGCATACATTTGAGAGCGGAGGCATTGAAGTAGACGATAGAGATGAAGATAAAAGCATTTACTATTTCTTGTACGAAGTAAAAACCTTCTATTAGAGACAGTTTCAGGCAGTGAAAATATAAATTACTTACAGATTACTAAAACAAAAACAAAAGTCTTTATAACTATAAGAAAAAATTTTCTTCTGGAGAGTTTTTCCTTGTCCTCTACTCTATGGGGAAAGGAATTCAGAGCATTCCTCGCACTTATGGGCGAATAAGGCTTTAGGTTTCTCTCAAGACTTTAAACCATATTTTTTAACCTTTTGAGAATTTCAAGAACACGAACGAAATCGAAAGTCGCTTGAATGAATTTCCAAGCAGATTTTAGAATTTATCTTAAGAGTGTTACCCTCTCTTAAGTCAAATACAAAATTTCAACGTATATTAATCGAATTCTTTAAAAACGTCGCGCTCGGTCTTTAATGATGCATAGTAATTTGTGATATTGTTGTCGGTGCATGTTATTCTTATTTTTTTTTTTTTTTTTTTTTTGTTTTTTTAAACATTCTCTGCAAATTTAATTTTTTCTTATCTTTACTCTGTTGTCTTTTGAGTGCCATCTTTTTCTAAAATTACTAAAATTTTGAACTAAATCAAATTCGTTTACCTAGAGAATAAAGCTTTTGCGTTAAATAGGGAAATTTTTCAATTATTTTCCCTCCAGCGTAGCGTAGCGTTCATCTCGTGAGCGGCTACGAGCTGTAAGAGTAGCAACAGCAATTACAACGCTATTCTAAGCCAACAAAAACTCATTTATTTATAAACCCAAATGCATTCACAAAAAGTCAGTTGCAAGCGGCGAGTCGTCAAATGCACTTGAGAACGTTAAATAGGGTGTGCGATAAAGAAAAAAATAAAAAATAATTATAAAAAAATTTGAAAGATAAAAGTGCCATACACACACATTCGAAAACGCAATGGCCTACGCCGTAGTCTGCGCGCTTTTACTTGTAATCGCCGCGTCGACTTATATGCAATTACGTCGCCACTTCAGCTACTGGGCGCGACGCGGTGTACCGCACGAGCAACCGAAACTCTTTATAGGCAATATGAGCGGCATCGGTACACGCTATCATTGGAAGGAAATCAACGAACGCATCTACACTCAATTCAGAGGACAAACGCCTATCATAGGTGCCTACATCTTTCTGCAGCGTGTCGCTTTCATCATTGACCTCGATCTTATTAAACGCATTCTGGTGAAAGATTTCAATAATTTCACCGATCGTGGCCTTTTTCACAATGTGCGCGACGATCCACTCACCGGCAATTTGCTCTTCTTGGATGGTGAACAATGGCGTGTTCTGCGTCACAAGCTATCGCCCGCTTTCACTACTGGCAAACTGCGCTATATGTTTCCCACAATGGTGGCGGTGAGCGAACGTATTGCAGGCACATGTGAACGTATCATGGATTTGGGCAGCACTGTGGAGATGAAAGAACTCTGCGCACGTTACACCACCGATGTGATTGGTGAAGTGGCCTTCGGCATCGAGTGCAACAGTCTGCGCGATCCACAGGCGATATTTCGGCGCATGGGTCGCAATATTGTCGAGAAGCCACGCCATTCATTGTTAGTTCAAGCTTTTATGTTCACTGATCCGAAGCGCGCGCGTCAGTTGCGTTTGAAAAACTTTCCCGACGATGTGACCGAGTTCTTTATGGGTGCTGTACGTGAGACGGTGGCATATAGAGAGGAGAATAAAGTGAGACGCAATGATTTCATGGATATGATGCTAGAGTTAAAGGCACAACGCGATCGCCTCAACGGTGTGGATATCAGAGAGGATGACCTTACGAACGGCTTGAACATTGACCAAGTAGCAGCGCAAGCGTTGGTATTTTACTTGGCTGGTTTTGAGACCTCATCCACAGTCATGTCTTTCTGCATATATGAGCTGGCGTTGAGGGAGGATGTGCAAATGAAATTGCGCGAGGAAATTTTCAATGTCTTGCAGAAAACTAAGGGGGAGCTCACCTATGAGGCAATCAAGGAGATGACCTATCTGAAGAAGGTGATAGCAGGTATGTAATTAGGAACCTTATGACTAACATTGCAATGAGATATCTGTATTTTTTACTTTTTTTTTACTTTTTACTTTTTCATTACACAGAGTCACTCCGAATGCATCCCGTCATTCCACATTTGGTGCGCGTAACCACCGCTGACTATCACATACCTAATACGGACATTGTGTTGGAGCGCGGCATGCGTCTGTTTATACCCGTCGATGCTATACACCACGATCCCGAAATCTACGCTGAACCCGAAAAATTTGATCCCGAACGCTTTACGCCAGCGGCAATCGAGAAACGCCATCCCTTTGCCTATCTCCCATTTGGCGAAGGTCCAAGGAATTGCATTGGCATGCGTTTTGGTGAACTGCAGGCTTCCATTGGCATTATACAGTTATTACGAAATTTCCATTTTAAACCTTGTGCACGCACCAAAGTGCCATTGGTTTATGCGAAAAAGAACTTTCTCATTGCGGCCGAAGGCGGCATACATTTGATGGTGGAGAAATTGGAGAAGACCATCTAGGAGAAAGTAGTAGAAAAAAAATTAAATAAAAAATAAAGAAATAAATTATACAAATAAATAGAACAACAACACTAAAAATATAAAACAAAACAATATATTTATAAATAATATTATAAAAAAATATAACAAAGGAAAAATAGCATTAAACTTGAAAAATAATAATTAAATATAGATAAGGAAAGCTCTGAAAAAATTAAGAAAACAACTAGATATTAAATTTAAAATAAAAAAATATTCTAAGTATATTGAAATACATTACCAAAAATAAAAAAACAGTAATCGGATAATATATCTAATTTTTATTGAATATTAAAGATTAATAACAAAAATTAATTAACAAAAATAGCTAATTTAAAAAATAAACTGTAAAGTATGCTAAATACAGTCTAATAATAAATTAAATATATAAATTCGAATAAACGTACAAAATTTTTAAAAATATCAAAGTGATATTTAAAGTTAATTGAGTGTTAGATAAAAAAAAATTAAAAGTAAAACTAAACTAGAAATACAAAAAAAAATATTTTTAAATAACTTAATTGAAAATAATAATATGAAATTAACAAATTTGCCCTTGTGCTTGTATTTTGTATAAATTTGCAATTCAAACTAATTATTATAAATTATCTTTATATTTACAATCTATTTACATAAATGGTTTTCAATAATATCCATGGTTTACATAATACAATATCTTGCCTATCTATGAGTGTTATGAGTAACTTATTGCATTTAGAATTCAACAGCAAAAACAAACAATTAATCAATAGAAGCTTTTATGCACACAACAAATAAGTTTATTATGGATATTTTGTACACACATACAGATGCCTAAGTATTATGAAATGATCTTTTTACTCATAAAAAAGAATAATCTTGGCTCTTACAATATTTACTTTTTACTCTTTTATGTGTGAGAGAGAGCAAAATAGAGAGCGTATTCTTATCTTATAATTGACATTTATATTCGAACATCATAAAAAATAAGCATGAATACTCGCAGCTGACAGCACTAAGCTGGTGTAGGCAGCGGTCATAACTTTTGACACTCATCCCCCTTCCAGTCGAGTGGTATGTACATTTGAGAAGAGATAAACAACACGTCTCTGTACCTCTTCGCCGTTCTTTAGCTCCCGTAAGAGTTTCTTTTTACAGATATTTTATGTCGTCTGCAGATACACTATATGTATAAAGCCTTTTCTGTCGCTTCTGTAGAGCAAAATTTAAAACAAAAAATAAAATACATCAAATTTTAAAATATCGTGCGACCAAATAATAATACTAAAGACGAGCTCCAAGCAGTCATATTTGGGAACTTCTTCATCACATATATTTCTACGGAATATCATTCCGTTACTTATTTTTTAAGATTCCTCTCAATGGTGTGGAGCATCCACTATATGTAATTCAACAAATTTTAAAAATAACTTTCAGCAACACTAACTCAATTTGAATCTTGATATCTAAGCTTGCGAAATATCACATCAAGCAGCTGACTCCTGAACAGCAAGTCACTTTTGCAGCGACCTTAACCTTGAAGAGCTTTGTTTAGAAGAAACAAGTGATTATATTATCAGAGAGCTTAAAGCTCCACTACAAAATATTAATACTCTAACTCGGAGATTATTTCAAGAATTCAGTGCAAATGTGACACTCGTCGTGAAGATACACAAAGTGAAGTATATTATATTCAATTATTTTAAAGCTGCGTGCATTACTAATTTGATTAGCTGTTCCGAACCCAAATATGAGTACCATTTTTGCTTTGCTGGCCATTGCACTCACACTGCTCATCTACTTTCTCCGATATCAGCAGTCATATTGGCAGAGACGTGGCATTCCGCACGATCCGCCCAGTTTTCCTTTGGGTACGTTTAAGGAGTTTCGTACCAAGAAGTCTTTCAGTGATATACTAACTCCGATCTATAATCGGTTCAAAGGCACCGGACCATTTTGTGGTATTTACTTTATCATACAACCCGTAGTGCTCGTGCTGGACGTGGAGTTAGTAAAGAAGATACTTATTAAGGACTTCAACAATTTCCAGGATCGCGGCGTTTTCCACAATGAAATTGAAGATCCACTCACAGGCAATCTTTTTCAATTGGATGGCCCGAAATGGCATGAGTTGCGAAAAAAACTCTCGCCAACCTTTACGTCGGGCAAAATGAAGTATATGTTTTCTACTGTCGTCGATGTGGCGCAAGAGTTTGTCACGGTTATGCGTGAGAAGTCGGGAAAAGCAGACGGCAATATACTTGAGATCAGCGATCTACAAGCGCGCTACACCGCCGATGTTATCGGCTCCTGCGCTTTCGGCATCGAATGCAATAGCTTACATAACCCTGACGCGGAGTTTGTTCGCATGGGACGGAAGGCATTAATCGAACGCCGACACGGCATGTTGGTGGACACTTTCATGGAGAGTTATCCGCGTTTGGCGCGCAGACTGAATGTGTGTGCAGTGCGTAAGGACGTGCACGACTTCTACATGGGGATAGTACGTGAGACGGTCGAGTATCGAGAGAAGAATCAAGTTAAGCGTAATGATTTCATGAATATGCTCTTGGAGCTAAAGAACAAAGAGGGCGAGGAGAGTGGCCTGACATTGGAGGAAATTGCCGCACAAGCCTACATATTCTTCTTAGCGGGTTTTGAGACCTCATCAACTACAATGGGTTTCGCGCTATACGAACTAGCTAGAAATCAAGAAATACAGAACAAATTGCGCCAAGAAATCAATGAAGTGCTGCAGCAATACAGCAATAAATGCAGCTACGAGGCTATACACGAAATGAAGTATCTCGATCAAGTGCTATCAGGTAAAAATGGATCGAAATTTTTATTGATTTTTCTTAATACCCACTTACTTTTTATCTCTTCACAGAAACTCTACGCAAATACCCCGTCCTGCCAGCGCTCGATCGTCTGTCGAAAGCGGCGTATGACACCGGCGATCCACGCTACGTCATCGAGCCGAACACACGCATTATTATACTCAGCTATGGCATACATCACGATCCCGAATACTATCCCGACCCGGAAAAGTTCGATCCCGAACGTTTTACTGATGAGGAGATACAAAAACGACCCGCTTGCACTTTTATACCGTTCGGCGATGGTCCACGCAATTGTATCGGCTTGCGTTTCGGCAAAATGCAAGCGCTCATCGGCCTCGCTCTGCTAATAAAGAATTTTAAATTCTCTTTCGCCCCGCATACACCCGTCGAATTGACCTACAACAAATCGAATGTGCTCTTGGCAGCGGATAACGGCATTTATTTGAAAGTTGAGGAGATTCGAGCGTCTTTTAGGCAAGAAGATAGGAGTGACTAACAATTTATTTATTGGAAATCCTTATTTTAAAATATTTGTTTGAATTAATTTATAAGAATAAAGAGGAAAAAATGGTGTTTTTGTTATTTTTTTTAATTAATAAATAATTTTATAAAGAAAGATAAAAAATTCATTTCTAATTCTAAAACTTTTCTCATCGGTGAAATCAAAAATACTAAACAAAGAAAATGTTATAATTTCTCAAAATCATTCATTATTCTCAGTTCGCTGCTAAAAAAGCAAAAAGCAACAAAAAAAAGTAGAATTAAATCCCGAATTGTCACGCAAACTGAGCTTTTCAAAGTTATTTTCATTGAGTTATGGAATTTATAGCAAAAGAAGGCGTGTCACATAACCAGACGGTGTACAAAACTATATTTACCCAAGCACTAAAATGACGTCATAAATTCATACTAAGCACTTTATTTGTTTGTTTAAATTATTCGTCGAATGTTGCATGCATTTGTTTGTGCGTGAGTAGATTGCGAATCAGATCGAAAAGAGTCAAAAACCGGTTTAAAAAATTATAGGTTTCGCGCACAAATTTGCTTAATTATTTGCATAAATATATAGATATGCATGTACGTGTATATTTAAATGCCGTTCACCATATTTAGCGAAATGCAGTAAACAAATTTAACAACCAGCAAAGCATGTTTTGTACAAACGAGTGTATGTGTGCTAGTACTGAAAATCCATCTGCAAAATTATTTGCACAAATAATTTTTTTCAAAAACAAAAGTATATGAGTACCGCGCCGTTTTCATGATGGAATATTGTACGTCCCTGTAAAGAGTACTGTATCAATCGGTATTTCCCCATTAATTAGCCAATGCCGCCCAACGGTGTCTTACCCTAAGAACGTTGACCACCACATTACAAATTGTGCCTTGCCCATCACTAGTACAGCTATCTGGTCTACATAGGCTATCAGCTTTAGTGACCTCTCTTCAAATTTAGATGCTGATTTGCAAGAGGTAACCACAAGGGTTGGGATAGTATAACCCCGTGCAGGGCTCGTGCTAATCAGAGCAATCTGGCGTCGTTCGATTCCACATTAATCTCCTTGCAACCCAGTAGAGCTTTCAGTTAAATAGTTAAATATTTTATTTAAATTATTATATTTCACAATAAAAACATTAATTTACTCAAATTAAATTGAATATATAATAGGAAGGGAAATAAAATAAATTAGGGATAAATGTAAATGAAAATGTTTGAATCTAATGGCGGCCAGTATAATTTTGTAATGTATTACAATCCTCTTGCTTAAACTCAAATAGCCCCGCGTTGGTAGCTCTCCCACTAACCCACGAGTTACAAACAAAATATAATATAACGCTTAAAAAAATGTCTCATGCGATATATTTGTTTACCTTAGCAGACTGAGGTACTTGAGTTTCTCCCCAAAAGGCGGTCAGCTTGGAGTGCAGCTGCACTTAAAAGCATTAACAAGTTCGCTTGCTGTTTCTTCTTATTCTTCTACTTTTTCTGCAAATCAATTGCAGAGGAAATGTTCAAGACTTTTTCTTCTTTCTTTTTTTTCGTTAAGATTATAGACATTCGTGTGTGCGTAACTGGCGCTGCATCAGCCGGCACGTTTATGTCACAAAGTTTTGGTATTTATAATTTTCATTAAATTTTTTATACTGTACTTTTTTCTGCCATCCACCTCTTGTGCATCAAATGAGCTTTGCGGATTTTGGTATTTAAGACCAAACGCGCCGTCATAACTGTTTTCACAAAGATCCGACCATCAAAAGAGTTAACAATGGACGTACTAATCTTCCTCGGTTTGCTTATCGGCATCGCGTTGCTGATTGTGTTTTGGTTTCTGCGTCAACAAAGCTACTGGCGACGGCGTGGTATACCCCATAGTAAGCCCATTATACTGGCGGTTCTGACAAAAAAGCATATTGTGCAGATTCTACGCGAGACCTACCAGCAATTCAAGGGCACTGGACCTTTCTGTGGCTTCTTCCTTTTCGCTACCAATACAGCGCTTGTGGTCGACTTAGAGTTGGTAAAGAAAATTCTCATTAAGGATTTCAATTACTTCTCCGATCGCGGCTTGTACACGAACGCCCACGACGATCCACTCTCAGGTAATATGTTTTTTGCAAAAGTGAATCGTTGGAAACGTTTGCGCACAAAGCTTACACCCACATTTACATCGGGCAAGATGAAGAACATGTTTCATATGGTCAGCGCGGTGGGTGAGCGCCTGGCGGCTACATTGCAAACACACATTGGTAATGGAGATGCCGATGGGGCGGGTAGAGTGCTCCACATGTGCGACCTCAGCGGACGTTTTACCACAGATACGATCGGTACTTGCGCCTTCGGACTCGAGTGCAATAGTCTGAGCGCTGAAACGCCGGAGTTCGTTTTGATCACTAATAGCTTCATCCAACAACGACGACATAATAAAATTGTCGAAGGATTAATTTTTAGCTTTCCGCGCATTGCACGCTTCCTACGCATGCGCATCATACCACAACCGCTGCACAATTTCTATATAAAACTCGTCGAAGATACGCTGGAATATCGCACAAAAACCAAGTGTCGTCGCAACGACTTTCTCGACTTGCTAATCGATATGATGGAGCACGAGGATGCGGCTGGCAATCATGTAGAGGGTTTGAGTGTGAACGAAATAGCTGCACAAACATTCATAATGTTTTTGGCGGGCTTTGAGACTTCAGCCACGACTATGAGCTTCGCGCTCTACTTGCTGGCTCAACACCCAGAGATACAGACACGTCTACGACAGGATATAAACAAAGTGTTAGCATCGAACAACGAACAACTGACATACCAATGTATTAAGCAGATGAACTATCTAAAGCAGGTCATATGTGGTAAATAATTTCGACTCATATCGTTTACTTTTATCATTTACACATGTTTCATTATATTTTAGAAACACTACGTATGTACCCGATCGTACCGAATCTGATGCGTCGTGCACAGTCTCACTACGATACTGGTGATCCCAAGTATTACATTGAGAAAGATACCATAGTCATTATACCCACCATAGCCATACACTACGATCCACAGTATTATCCGGACCCCGAGCGCTTTGATCCTGCTCGCTTCACAAGCGAAGAAATGCAGCGGCGACCTGCCTGCACTTGGCTACCTTTCGGTGAGGGTCCGCGCAATTGTATTGGCATGCGTTTTGGCAAAATGCAAACCAGCATTGGTCTCATATATTTGATAAGGAATTTTCAGTTCAGCGTTGCGCCGGAAACTGTGATACCTTGCCCTCTGACAAAAGTTTCTTGTTTGGTTTCGCCGGAGAATGGCATAAAACTGAGAGTGGACAGAGTGGATGGGGCTTTGCCTATAAGACGTACATGGGATTATATGAAAAGTGACACATAAGATGTTAGATATTAAATGTAATAATGCATAATTTAAATAAATGAAAATTGCTAAGGACTTGTAAAATCAGGAGCATCTCATTTCCATTGACACTAAGTAGAATTCTGTAGGCCTTTTCTACGTTCTTGTGTATACAGATGACAAGGTCTTACAACTGGCCCCACACAGAATATATTTCTTAAGGGCTGAGCGAATGGAACGGAATTTCTGGAAATATCTAACAGCTCATTTGTATACAGTGGAACACGAGACGTGTAGCAACGATATGGTTAGAAAATAAAAAGCACGAAATTATTATATATATTTCAATAGGGAAAAATTTATAAATATCTGTGACTTTAAAATTTTGTGAGCCTTTTGTATTACCGTTGTTTTAGTACACTTACGTACGCACATTTATTTACGAAAGTGTAGCTCTCTCAACCCTAGAAACATACATACATTTAAGCTCACAAACTCCGAAAAAGCTAGCGAAAGTCATAAGAGCCTCAAAACCGCAGTGAGTGTTGCCGCAAATGTTTTGTTAAAAGAAATAAATTCAAACATTCCATCCTTCAGTAACTTCTGAGCAAAAGATAATTTTGATTTAATTTACTTGGAATGGTAACGGATTTTTTCGAATATATAAACAAACTAAATTTAGGAATTAAATATTACCTTAACATGACTAATACTTCTGTTAACTTCTCAGTTGTTTTGTTGCGATGGAATAAGTAAATATATCACGATAAACCTAAAGAGGAAACAAAGAAGGGGGTTAACAAGTTTGTGTATGGTTCATTTTTTAGAATTAAACAAACTTGATTGCTTTCAAAATCAAAAACTTCGAAGACGAAAGTTTTCAGATTATACTTTTTACTAAATTTATAATTTTTATTTCGACCTCGCACGAGACTGGAAATATAATTTTTAATATTCTTCTTACTTTTTATTCATAATTTTTTCACAACATATTTTCAAACTTATAATCTGGAAATCTATGACTGCAACCCTGTTTAAAAGTACATACAGGTGACTTGCCTTGTTTTCAGAATGCAGAGAAACTCAATGCAAATATATTCACACCACCAAAACTCCGAAATACTCACTCAGCGAAGTCACCCTCGGCGCGCTCTCAAATTCAGTACTTGCGCAGGTCTTCAACCCCACGCTTCACTCTGAAATTCTTTGTACACTGAGTAACTGTAAACAGGAATCATTCCTCAATTTATCTCTACACACTCACATTCACACAAACAAAAACATGCAAAAATGATGGACTACCTCATCTACTTTGGCATATTCTTAACCATATACACCATCGTGCTGTATTTCGGTATGAATTACACGAATATGCTTTTTTGGAAAGCGACCTGGGTGCCATGCGATGTTCCGGATTTCATAATTGGTGATCTGGAAGGGTTATCCCGATCCCGCAAGCTTGCATCGGCTTTACGCGAAACATATAAAAAGTACAAAAGTAAGATGGGCAGCTTTTGTGGTTTCTTTATGTCTGCGCGACCTGTGGCGCTCGTCACAGATCTGGACTTAGCATACAATATACTTGTACGTGACGCAGATAAGTTCGACGATCGCGGTTCATATCATAACAAAAATGACGATGCCTTTGCTGAAAATCTATGGAACTTAGAAGCGGCGGAGTGGAGCGTGTTGCGCAGAAAGCTAGCGCCCCTCTTCACGAGTGAAAAATTGAAAACGATATTTCCGCTAATCGTGAAAATAGGTGACGAGCTAAAGAAGCAATTTGCTGCAGCCGATGAAAATGAAATTATAATAGAGATACACGATCTTTGTCAACGTTACATCACCGACGTCATTGCCAATTGCATATTGGGTTTGCAGGTCAACAGTCTACAGGACCCAAGTTCGGAGTTTCGTCTATTTACCAAGAAATATGCCATGAAATCTTGCAGCACTTGGACATACACGTTGATGCAGTGGAAGCCAGAGTTGGCAAGACGTTGGCATTTAACACAGACTTTCGATAAAGTGCGTGATTTCTATTACCGTGTCATTGGTGGCACTATAGTGGAGCGTGAGAAGAAGAAATATAAGCGGAATGACTTGATGACCAGACTCATAGAATTAAAGAACGCGAAAGTAAAGGCGAATCGGTTAAGTCTTGACGAGATCATAGTGAACTCGGCATTATTCTTCGAGGCTGGTTATGAGCCCTCCGCAAGTATTTTGACATATGCATTCTTCGAGTTGGGATTGGAACAGTTGGTGCAGAACAAATTAAGACGGGAGATAACAGACGTGCTGAAAAGGCACAATGGTAAACTCACCTATGAAGCCATGGAGGAAATGAAGTATCTGGATATGGTGATTTTAGGTGAGCAGCTTTTGTCTGAACTTTAGATAAATGTTTTAATAAATAAAAACAAAAATGACGAATAAAATTTATTTTTTTACAGAAACTCTACGAAAGTACTGCATATACCCCTATATCGAGCGCGTAGCCAATGATGATTACATAACCAACGTAGAAGACTTTATAATATTTAAGGACACAAAGGTGGTCATACCCATTGAGGCAATACATCATGATTCTGATTACAATGAAAGACCGACGGCTTTCATACCAACACGTTTCGAAACGGAGAAATTGCAAAGTCGCCATCCTTGCGCCTGTCTGCCTTTCGGTGCCGGACCACGCAACTGTATTGGCATGCGTTTCGCGAAATTGATGATAGGCGTTGCGCTCATAGCGCTGCTAAGCGAATATAAATTTGACCTATCTTCCAAGTGTACGCTGGTAATGGAATCTCCAAAAGACCGGGTGCTATTGAGACCGGAAAAAGAGGTGAAGATGTGTGTTCAGAAGTTACAAACTTAAAAGCCCGTAGGTTTGAGCGAAAGCTTCGGAAGGTGGGTGCAAGTCTCAGTTCCAATTCGCTTTAATATTTGCAAACTGATAATGTCGACTACTTGGGTTGTTTCAATGTATGGGTCAAAGCTCAATTTTTTTTTTTTTTTTTTTTTTCAAAATATAATATGTAATTTTATTTCTTTGTATGCGTGTATGTATGGGTAAAGCGTCGGTTTTCTAAATATGTAAAGCAAACAATTTTCTTAATGTAATTTAAATATTATGTTATTTCAAATTGTATTTGTTAAAATTCAAAATTGTACATAAATTTTAAATATTTTTTTGAAAGATTCCATTCATTATAAAAGTATTTACAAATAAGCATGTACAAATCTTAAAGTGTGTCTTTTGTGAAATATATATGTGTACAAATTTTTTATACAAATCAATTGTCCAAATCCTCTACCTTCAAATAGATACCGTTAAGGGTGTTCAGCAAGAATGATTTTATATTAATTTTTAGCGGTATTTCAGTTTTATCACAAACGCTGAAACGATATTTACGCAACAGATGTGCCAAGCCGATGCGTATCTGCATGCGACCAAATCGTTGGCCAATGCAGCTACGCGGCCCCTCGCCAAACGGTAACCACTCAACGGTCTCACGTTGTGCGCGCTTCGCCGGCGTAAATCGTTCTGGATCCCAACGTTCAGGGTTCGGATAAATGTCTGGATCATAATGTATGCCAGCAGAAGGCACGATGATCGCCATGCCCTTCTTGATTACGTAATTCGGATGGCCGGGTACTGTGTAGTCATTCAATGCCTGACGATTAAGATGCGGCACAACGGTATACTTGCGTTGAGTCTCTGTGGAGAGATTTAAAAAAATAATTACGAAAAAAGTGAAGTGAAACTAGACAACCTACCAGCCACCACTTGGTCCATGTACTGCATCTCCTGCAGGCACTCATAAGGGAATTCGTTATTATATTTGGCAAATGTTTCCACCACCTCACGCCGCAAGCGTGCCTGCAACTGCGGCTGTAACGCCAACTCGTACAACGCAAACGACATTGTCGTTGAAGAGGTCTCAAATCCAGCTATGAAAAATACGAACGTCTGCGCTGCCATCTCCTCAATAGTGAGACATTTCTCCTCGCCAAACTCATCGCGCAGTTTCTTATCATTTCTCAAATCGATCAGGATGCTCATAAAATCATTACACTTGATGTTATTCTGCTCGCGATATTCGACGGTCTCACGTACGATTCGCATAAAGAACTCCGTCACGTCATCATGTATCTGACGCATATGCAGACGACGTGCCAAGCTGGGGAAACTGTGCAAAAAACCACTCACCACAGGTCCATGGCGCTCTTCACTGAACGCACGTCGTCCCATTATGCGAAATTCAGCCTCCGGATTGCGCAGTGAGTTGCACACGATGCCAAAGGCGACTTTTCCTATAATGTCGGTAGTATAACGTGCCAAAATCTCCTTCAACTCGACGATATTGTCCTCGCGCAGTTGCTTACCCAACACCGCAACCAAGTTGTGCGTTACCTCGACGATGGTGGGAAACATGAATTTCATTTTACCCGACGAAAAGGTGGTTGTGAGCTTGCCCCGCAAACTGCGCCATTTGTGTCCATCCAAAAGGAAGAGATGTCCCGTCAACGGATCATCGCGCTCGTTATTGAACATCCCACGATCGGCAAAGTTCGTAAAATCTTTAATGAGCACATTTTTAATTAAGCCAATATCCAATAGCACCACCGCGGGACGCAGGAAGAAAAAGAAGCCACAAAATGGTCCAGTGCCTTTGTACTTCAAATAGATGTTACGACTGATGTCACCGAAGCTTAATGTGCGATGTACTTCCGTCAAATTGCCCAACAGCCAGCTGGGTTTGTCGTGCGCGATGCCGAGTCTCCGCCAGCAATTGAACCGGCGTTGTAAGAAAAGAAACAATAATGCCCCAAGTATGGCAATGAGCGACAGCAGCGCGCCGGTCATTGACATTGTGAAGCTGTGCAGTTGTTGTTGTCAACGCTCAGTAGCTGGTATTGAGTTTTTTACGTGAATTCTTCTTTTTCAATTCAATTCAATTCCTTAATGCATTTCACGCCACAGATGGTTGCTGCTGAACTGTTAACTGAGCTGTTTTAAATTTCGGCAGTCGCTTATATAAACTTTTGTCCACATCTCAGCGCGAGTTGTGATATTTTTGGAACTGAAAGATAAAAATGGAATGAGCAGCAGATATGAACCAGGCTTGGAAGCATAAGAATGATAGTGAACTTATTTTTGTTTTCCTTGAAGATGTTGTTTTTTTTTTTCTTAACCGTAGTAACATTTTTCGACCATTGTGTTAGTTAGGCACCAGTTGTCAAGTGGACACAAACTAAATCGAAATAACAAAATTTCAAACACGACGACATCGGACGCTCAGATTTGCCGTGCTACGAGTCGTATTTTCCAATACCAACCCGAGATTTTCGAAAATCAAAAATTAATTATAAAAACCATTTAATTTCGAGTCGCAGTGTCCTTATTTCCGGTCCTATATATTTTATTATGTGTAATATATCTTTGGTATATAAATAATTGCGCCTTATAAAACTTTAACCGCCATTAAGTTATTCAGAGAAGCTATAAAATTTTTATTCCATTTAAATACATTAGACATATACATTTCTGAAGAAAACTGAGAATATTCATATCATCATATTTTTTGGTAACTACTCCAAAACCACATATACACGAACTAGTCCCAATGCAGTTGGCTTCTTAAGCACTTGTGGTTTTATGCATACATATATTTGTAACAATTGTAAGTGCTTCAAATTATATTTAGTGATTTTTCTCCCGAAATTTTCGCTCAGCTTTGGCTCTCTTAGGCACTGTTGCGGGCAGGCATATACTCGTATGTCAACATCGACTTTGAAATTCAATAACAAACGCGCAGATGTCCTTTTTTTGCGAGATAATTAATTTTTTATTTACACTGCAAAAATTTATTACAAATTTTTATATTCAGAATGTTTCCAAAAATTTTAATAATAAATTGCAAAATTCAGCTACCATAGGACATTCGTCTTCTCCTTGTGTAGCGATGATCTGTATATTCCAATAGTTTAAACTGGAGCCTGAGATGCACTTGATTTCTTCAAAATAATATGTTCCTTTCGCCTTCACTTAGAAAGCAGCGTTGGCAATCCCAAATTCAGCTCATCGTAATAGTGTACATGTTTAAATATATATACACATTTACAGTTATTTATGTACATGGATACAGTGCTCTCTAAACAATGTATTTATACACATTTATACAATATTATATACTCGTATATATAAATCTAGTGTGCTCTTCATAAGAAACTCCGAAAAAGCTCCAAAGTCGTCCTCAGCGATACTCCTTTTCAAGTCACACATTCAGTTTTCTCGCGGTCCTTTACACATACGGGACACATCGGATTTTTTGTTTTTCCCATAAATTGTTAAGTATATTTTGCAAATATTGCTTAAACCCGCACACACACACTGTTTTGAAAGATGTCTAATCTAGTCATATACCTCGGGCTTTTATTGTTCACGATGTTGCTGATTATAATAATTATTCTTGGTAAGATACATCAACGTAGGAATTTATGGCAACGTTTAGGTATACCACACGATGAGCCCGGCTATATATTCGGTAATCTTAATGGACTCTCCCTCGCCCGCCCATTCGCCAATGCGATACGCAGAACATATAACAAATATAAGCTACATAGAATTCCCTTTTGTGGCTTTGTTATGCTCACGAAACCAATAGCCATCGTCACAGATTTGGATTTAGCGCAAGATATACTCGTACGAGATGCTGATAAGTTTAGTGATCGTGATTCATATCATAATAAAGTAGATGATACTTTCTCTGAAAATTTATGGAACTTAGAGGGAGAGGAATGGCGTGAGCTGCATAGAAAATTAGCACCGCTCTTTACGATGGAGAAAATTCAAAAGGTTTTTCCGAATATCGTACAAGAAGCCGATGAGTTAGTGGATGCATTGGATGAGATGGATCAAGAAGTGGTGGATATATACGACCTTTGCCAGCGTTACATCGCGGACGTTATTGCCGATAGCCTACTCGCGTTGGAGTGTCACACATTGCAGAAGCCAATTAGTGAATTTCGTGTTTATGGCAACGATCATGTGACGAAACCGCGTAGCAAAGTGGCGGTAGCGTTGATGGAGTGTCAGCGCTTTGTGGCTCGAGCTCACCATTTAACTCAGACGCTTGAAGAGGTAATCGATTTCTTTTATTCTTATATTGGCGCTGCTGTACTAGAGCAAGAGCACAACAAATATGAGCGTGATAACTTTATCCGTCAACTTGTCGACATAAAGAACGAAAAGGAAGAAAAAAATCGGTTGAGTTTCGATGAAATCGTTGCGAATTCGGCACTGTTCTTTACCGCCGGTTATGACACCTGCGCGAGTACTATGACTTTTGCGCTCTATGAGCTGGGAACTAAACGGCATATTCAGAAAAAATTAAGAGAAGAGATTATGCAAGTATTGGAAAAGTACAACGACGAGCTCACCCTTGAAGCTATCGACGAAATGAAGTATCTAGATATGGTGATTTCAGGTGAGCACGTTTAAAATACTTAAAAATAAAAGAATAATACCTAATACTCCATTCTCTTCTTTACAGAAACTCTTCGCAAATATCCTATATATCCCTACGTGGAGCGTGTTGCTAATTGCGACTACCACACGAAAGAACCAGATTTTAAAATACTAAAAGGCATGACAGTACTCATTCCCATTGAAGCAATACTACGTGATCACGACATCTATCCAGACTCATTCAAATTCCAGCCCGAACGTTTCGAAGCGGGGAAAGCGACACGACGCCATCCGATGGCTTGGATACCGTTCGGCGATGGGCCACGCTCCTGTATTGGCATGAGGCTCGGACAATTGATGATACGCATCGGTCTTATAACACTCCTAACAAATTATGAATTTTACGGTTGTCATCGTACCCCGGTGCCCATGCGTATCGACAAAAAGTCTCGTCTATTGAGACCGGAAAAAGATGTCTATTTGCGTGTTCTGAGCTTGGAATAAGTAAAGACTGAAGCGAGAAAGCGAAAGCTTAGGCAACCTGCTGAAAGCTCTACTCAGGAACTAAATTAAAGCTTGATAGCTAAAAGTACAAATATTTTTTTAATTTATTTTTTATGTAGTTTAAAATAAAATTAACGTTTCGAAATGACTACTTCTTTCAAACTATTACCTTACTGATTTCTAATTCAACAAACTTATGATTGGGGAGGGGCGCAAATACTTCCTTGCCTTCGCCGTTCGGTGTCAAGGGAAGCCAGGCGCTTCTCCATCTCATCGTGCCAACGGAGTGGTTAGTTTCTTCTTCCGTAGCTGTCTCTGAATTCGCTGAACAATTCCAGTCCGATTTCCAGACTAGCATTGTTATCAGTGTTTATTATGATGACTCAAAGATAGACAAAACTACCTGCAACCTCAAAGATAAGACTGTCAATAGTGACGTAATAATAAAAGGATATATTTCGTCCTGTCCTCCTACTGTTAATATCATTGGCATACACCAGCAGCTGTAAGCTCTTCTAGAAGATGGTACCTTTTTGGCCGCGCGCCCTATTATTATTCTTCAGACGCGGTTTGTCTAGCACCTCACACTCTCGCCCTTCAGAAGTCTTATCGCTTCTAATTTTTTTTTCTTTGATTTCATGTTTTCTACGTTTGTGTACATGTGTTATCAGCTAAAGCGGCGTTTGCTTATCAGTTTATCATGAGTAGCTAGCCCGAGCGGTGCTTCACACCAACAATGACGGTTGATAAATGTTTTTCCCAAGTATGCTTTACGGATATGATGCGAAATATTTTAGTTATCCAATAAAAGTTTGTTGTTATTATTGTTATTGCTGTTTTCCGAAATGAGTATTAGCTATGATTAATAACGTCTTCAGAATCGATAACAGTCAACTTTATCGTTCGATACTAGACCCCTTGCCAAGTAGCAAAAAATCCAAACGTAATAAAGGCTCTCATGTCCACAGGGTTGCTTACAAAGCTAATGAATGCACAGTCCTGATTACAGATTGGTTCGATCAAACCATTGTTGGGAAGAAGACTCCAAAGTCGAAATCACGAAATAAATAACTAGGGGTGGTGTTGGAAAGTAATTTGTTGTGGGGACTCATACGTCATATCAAAGGCCTCAGAGACCCGAATATTGATCTGCCATGTGGTCTGTCGATCTTTGATCTGCGTTACGATTATTTAGCCAATAACCTTTTACGGAGCTCTAAAATGGTGGAAGCAAAGCAGTTTAGCGTACCAAATTAAAGATAATTTAATGAACCATCCAAATTCAGGAGGCCTTAGTCAAGCGTCTCGCCCATGTTCTCGACTTTCTAGAGTCAATCAGTATATCCTAACCGAACCTTAGTGCGCATTCATTCTTAAGCCCTCTAAGTATTAAAAAAAAACGACATAATTCGGTAATGAAATCGATTGAAAATAATTGTTTTGAACTCATCCGCAAAAAAACAAAACATGAATCACTTCATTTTCATTTGAAGAATTTTGAAGTCTCCTAAGAGCACAAACGTAATTTATTAAAATCATTTTAAACACTATCCGAAACATAAATAAGTTAGAAAATTAAAAATTCTCAAAAAAATATCCACAACCGTTCAATAATAGAAATATTTTAGCAAATTTTTAAAAACTAAATTCTCCATTGCATTTTACAGTCTGTCCACACGCAAATAAATACCCGATTTCGGGCTAACGAGATAGCTGGCCACGTTGTATTCCATCGGTATAGTCGTCTTATCGCACACACTGAAGCGGAAATTCCGCAACAAGCTCACCAAGCCGATCAAAACTTCCATCTTTCCAAAGCGCATGCCAATACAATTTCGCGGACCCTCGCCGAAAGCCAGGAACTCGATAGAGTCACGCTTAGCCACTTTCTCTGGCGAAAAGTGATCGGGATTGAATACATCGGGGTTCGGGTACAAATCTGGGTCACGATGCATAGCGCCCACCGGTATCAATATTCTCTTATTCTTCTTAATCACATACTTGGGGTGACCCGGCACCACGTAATCCTCCAAGCACTTTCGATTCAATACCGGCAGCACCGTGTACAAGCGCAGAGTTTCTGTAATGTGGTGGCAATTGGTTAATGGAATACTACCAACTTTAGAGCACTAAATGCGTATTTGAACTTACCCAAGATTACTTGATTTAGATAAGTCATTTCGGCCATAGACTCGTAAGTGAACTCGCCACTATGACGATCCAATACCTCCAAAATCTCTTTTCGTACTCGCTCTTGTACAGCCTGATGCTGTGCCAGTTCGTAAAGTGCAAAAGAAAGCGTAGTCGAGGATGTTTCAAAACCAGCAACCAAAAAGACGTATGCCTGTGCCGCGAGCTCTTCCACTGTTATGCTCATATCATGGCCATCCTCCGACTTCATCAGCTTGTTGTTCTTCAAATCTAAAAGCATATCGAAGAAGTCATTACGTCGAATTTTATTCCTCTCACGGTATTCGATATTCTCGCGCACGATGCGCATGTAGAATTCCGTTATGTGATCTGGTATGAGCTTTATGCGTAAAAATCGTGCTAAATCCGGGAAGGTGTGCGCAAATATACGACCAAAGCGTGAAATACCTACATCGGTCAACGTCTTTTTGCCCATCACCCGAAATTCTGAGTTTGGATTCTTCAAACTGTTGCATTCAATGCCGAAAGCACAGGATCCAATGACGTCGGTTGTGAAACGCGCCACCAGATCTCTTATTTCTACCACTGCGTCCTCTTGGCGCAAGTTCTCAAACATATTTGAGAGCTCCTCAGCGACTTTGACAACTATCGGATACATCAATTTCATTTTACCGGAGGTAAAGGTAGGCGAAAGCTTCGTGCGCATACTCCGCCACTTGTGTCCGTCCAACATGAAAAGTTGCCCCGAGAGCGGATCATGCTTCACATTTGTGTAAAAGCCGCGATCGGTAAATTTATTGAAGTCTTTTATCAGCACCAATTTTGCCAACTCAGGTGTGAGCACAAAGATGTCCGGGTTGCCACCCCCCAAATAGAAGCCACAAAATGGGCCTGTGCCCTTAAACTTCCTATATGTCGCCAACCAAACCTCAAAAAAGCTGCATGTCCTACCCGCCATGATATTTCGATCTTGCAAGGGTATGCCCAGCTCCAGTAAGTAGTTTTTTCCCGGACGCATTCGATAGTATATGTAACCGGCCAAGCCGATTACAATAGTTACCTTCAGATACTGGAACGACCATTTTATTAACGTGAAATATGGAATTTTACAATTTTGTATTCTTTTACAGAACTCCTATACAACGCGCGCGGATCCTAAATAAGTACTGAATATGGCCGACGAGAAACAGCTATTTAAAACGCTCAGCCTTTATGACATTAGAGTAAATGGTATGAGTAATCTTCTGCCATCCACAAAGTTATCTCTGATAGTGCTGAACTATTTGGCTGGCCAGAGTGAAGTACCAGAATTGTGGATTTGTAGACTTTGATAACTTAGAAGATAAGAACGCAGACATAAATTCACTTGCGGCCTAAAAGTATGTTATGCTCGCAAAAACATCGTAATGTGAACTCCCTTCCATTCTACACGGACGGAATTGGCTATGCATGCGGCAATGAGCTGGTTTTCGAGCATTACATAGACTGAACAACGTATTGATGAATGATTTCGTTGTGTAAAGCCCAGTTCCAGTAAAATTGTCGCTTGCCAAAAGACCAGCCAACTTAGAAGTATTCATCTTTTTGAGTCGCTACAAGAACAATGACAAAGTCAACAGCTAACTTTATAAAATGTATATATTTATGGTTGGATAATAAGTAACAGTAAGAATGTGGAGTACCCTTTGCATGAATGATGCTTGATTTCAGGCTCACACCTTCTCAATATACAAGCTAATACCATGCTCTGATTGCAGCAAAAAATTAACCTTATTATATTTCATGGGAATGGGAGTTTTTCCACAGACCGAAAACTTGAAGTTCTTCAAGAGTAGTGCCAAGCCAACGCGCGCTTGCATTTGACCAAAACGCATGCCGATACAGTTGCGGGGGCCCTCACCGAAAGGCAGCCAATAAACGCCATCACGCTGAGCCACCTTATCAGGTGAGAAATTGTCGGGATCGAAGGTGTTTGGATTTGGATAAATATCGGCGTCCCGATGGAAAGCCGCGGCAGGTATAATCACCTGCATGCCCTTGCCGATGACGAATCCCGGATGGCCGGGCACAGGATATTCCTCCATGCACTCGCGGTTCAGAATAGGTAGCACAGTGTAGAGGCGAAGTGTCTCTGTGGAGGAAAATAAAAAGCTTAGAGTACAGGGTACAGAGGAAAAATTGTGTGCATTTGCTCACCTGATATGACTTGGTCCAAGTAGACCATGTCCTTCATGCAGTCGTATGTGAACTCGCCGTTGTGTTTCTCCAACGCCTCGTTAACCTCTTCGCGCACACGCTGTTGAATCTCCTCATCCTGGGCCAGCTCATACAATGCAAAGCCCATTGTCGTTGACGAAGTTTCGAAACCTGCGACCAAAAATACAAACGCCTGTGCGGCGAGCTCTTCCACTGTTATGCTCATATCATGGCCATCCTCCGACTTCATTAGCTTGTTGTTCTTCAAATCTAAAAGCATATCGAAGAAGTCATTACGCCGAATTTTATTCCTCTCACGGTATTCGATATTCTCGCGCACGATGCGCATGTAAAACTCTGTAATATGGTCGGGCGTTTGTTTGACATGCAGCCTGCGACACAGCTCCGGAAAACTATTAATCATCGCCAAACCAATCCGTCCGTTACGCAAATCAGTGAAAACGCGTTTGCCCATTTGTCGAAACTCCTCGTTAGGATTCTTCAGACTGTTCACATCAATACCAAAAGCACAGGTGGCAATAACATCAGTGGTGAATCGCGCCAAGTAGTCACGCATTTCTAAAATGGGCTCCTCTTTAATCGCCTCCGACACAACACGCACAAACTCCTCGCCCACACGACACACAGTAGGAAACATGTACTTCATTTTGCCGGATGTGAATGTGGGTGAAAGCTTATTGCGCATCACGCGCCACCTGTGGCCATCCAACAGAAAGAGTTGACCGGTGAGTGGATCATCTTCCGGATTGTTATAGAAACCGCGATCTACGAAATTATTGAAATCTTTAATTAAGATAGACTTAGCTAGTTTCGGGTCCAAAATGAATGCGGCTGGTCGTTGGAACCAAAAGAAACCACAAAAGGGACCCGTGCCCTTGAATTTCTTATAGGTACTCATCCAGACTTCCAGAAACGAACGAGTGCTACGCACGCCATTTAAATTGCCTAGTAAATAATTCGGTTTCTCATAGGCAATGCCGCGCACCTCCCAATACATGAAGCGTTTGCGTAGCAAATAGAATCCATAGCCGAATAGACCAAGCAGCGCGGCCAGCAGAAATTGCGTGACGGACATAATTTATCCTAAATGAAGTTACTCAACAGTTATTTCAACTAAAAATCTTAAATTCTTGGCAAGCCAGCAAGCGACTGACCGAAGCGTTCAACAATAGCGCGTTTCGCGTACTGAGCAAGTAGCGAACTTTTGGAAATCGTTTGAATGCAGTTATTAGACGCTAGTGGCTCGGAGAGCTCAAGTGCTATTGTGTGCATGTGTAGTTATTCATTTTCTTTTTCAAATAAAATACTTTAGATTAGTGAGCATATACTTTGTACCCAATTTACTGAGCAGGTGAGTGCACATGCACATTTTGCTGGTTTAGAAAATAGCTGTTTGTTGTTAAATTCGCAAAAAATATGTTATTTAGAAAACAAGTTTTGAGTAATTAATAGCCCTTTTCCCCTATCTATTATTATGTTTTTTTATTTGTTTATTATTAATCTTCTATAAAACTCATAAAATTATCTTCATTTCCAATTCAGTTCGAAGTTGTTCTCACTTACTTTTACCTTTGGCTCTAAAGATTTCCTACAGGATCTCCATTATTTTCAAAAACTTACTAATCATTCACAATCTTATCATTAGCCCTGCGCGTGGTAGATACGTGTTATAACCAACAGCAATAAGATTGCAATATTACTTTCGGGGCAATATAAAAAATAAACAGTTCTTCATATATATATGCATAAATATATATTCTACGAATATCCTATGTCCCTATGCAAGCTTATTGTCAATGAAACTTTATTTAATAAATTTTACAGAATAGTGAGTTGCAAAATACAGATTTCCTGTAATTAAATAAGTTTCGAATCCTACCAACCAGGCTTAGAGAACAAGCTGGTAATAGGACGCCAGCTTCTCGTCTAGAAATGAGGGAACAATAAGCTGAGCGAGAAGTGTAACAGTCTAATTAAGGCAGTGGGTTACATTTGATATATCTATGGCAAAAAATATTTGCCTCAGACATTTTTTTAAGTATTTCTCTTCGACCCTCCCAGAAAGTCTACATGCATATGTACAAATTCGATGTGGTGTAAAGGGCGTAGTATTTCCCTGCTCTTCCGCTCACGCAAGATACAGTAAGCGAACCGTGTGGAGCCTTAATAAAGGTAGCTTCGCGCAACCACTCTGACCCGTTTTAAGGGTTATTTTAAGTCTAACTCCATCGCCTATCCGGATGTGCCTTTACGGTCTTAAATCCTTAAAGCAAACGGAGCTCTCTATGTTTATGTATGTGTCGCATTCTAGCGAAGAAACACAAGTAAGTGGTGAATTTGTGGAATACTCACTCGCCAAGTAAAATTATTCATCGCGTTAAACAAATTTTTAGCCATAATTCTGATCAAGGAATCTTCTTAAGAGTGACAACGAAATCATGCCGGGTGGCTTTAACGCCACGATGGGCGAAGAAGGTATATAATTCAGACTCTCAACTTATTGTGATAGAAGAAAGACATGTTTCCATCTGCATACTGTCCGCAGTTAAAATCTGCACCTGCTTCTTGGAGTCCAACGCGCACGTCAACAGAAAGCTGAAATCACAACAGGCATTCAATAGTTTCCTACTCGACTTGCAAATTTACTTTCTGACCTACAGAGAGGAAAATTAATTAAAATAAAAATTAAGTTAAATTTTCTAATTGCGGTCCTCGGCAGGGAATGTCCACCCCTCCTGATCCTCATAAAAGACCATCAGCCGTTCGGAGGTGGCTTAGTATAAACTGTCGGTCCCTCCATTTGTTGGAAAACCATCAAGACGCAAAAGCACAAATTAGAGGAGAAGCTCGGCCGAAATATCGTTTCAGCGTTTACAAAGCGCCTATTATATATATATATATATAGAAAGAGTAAGGCTGAAATGAGTAACAAAACCAATTCTTAAAATTACAAAGCAAGGTAATATAGTAACTGACCTAGATGACTAGCTGGCTGTTAAGTTTGGCGCGAAAACTTTGCATAAAATTCAGAACGAGAGTGAAACCACAGTTCCATATTGCATCACTTTATTTAAGAGGCCTCGTAAGCCTTTTCAGCAATTTGAATTTGATATTGCATCAACCGTTAATAGAGAGAAACGGGAGTTTGGTTTACCTTTTATCTTTTGAATATTTTTTACGTTAGACTCTTTATAACAGCAATGTCTTATCGCAAGAATTATACTCCCTCAACCGCGCAGCATATCAGTACGTACCCACGGCGACATTGTAGTGTAAACGTAAAAATTGCTGTGTCATATCGAGGCGTCTGACTTTCTAATACAAATCGAAACAAATACTCGGAAGATATTGTACGGTTGAGAATCCACTAGTCATGGTGAGTTTTAACAGCAAACGAAACGTTGCTGTATCACTATAAATTTTGCATCGGCAATGCTTTCAGCTCAGTTAAGTTTCTATGCCGTGCCTATAAAGTAAACGCTCCCTACTGCTTAACAGTAATTTATGCTCAAAGCCAATTATTTATTATTTAATAACAAATCAAACATAAACAATGGCCGTAACGGAAGTTTTATTAGGCCTACTCGCAGCAGTCATTGCCATCGCTCTATATATAACCCGGCGCAATCTGACATACTGGAAACGACGCGGCATACCCTGCGACGAGCCACATTGGCTCTATGGCAACCTAAATGGCGTGACGAAAACAATTTCTTTAGCGGAGGCCTTTGCAAGAGTCTATAGACGTTACCTGGGTACTGGTCCGTTTTGTGGCTTTTACACCCTGCAGAAACCCTGCGTACTTGTGCTGACACCGGAGCTGACGAAACAGGTATTGATTAAGGATTTCGCCAATTTCTCCGATCGTGGCTTGTACACCAATGAGGAAGATGATCCGCTGACTGGTCACTTGTTTGCGTTGAGCGGGCAGAAATGGCGTTTTATGCGCAACAAACTCTCGCCCACCTTTACTTCGGGCCAAATGAAATTCATGTTTCCCACTGTGCTCTCAGTGGCGGAGAATTTTGTGGACACCATGCAAGCGGAGCTCGAAAAGAATGAGGTGATTGAGATCAAAGACCTCTTAGCGCGTTTCACCACCGATGTGATTGGTTCGTGCGCTTTCGGTATTGAATGCAATAGTTTAAAGAATCCAGATGCGATCTTCCGTGACATGGGTCGTCGTATTTTCACCGACCGGCGTCATGGTGAACTTGTTAACACTCTAATTTCGGTAGCACCAGGTCTGGCACGTAAATTGCACGTTCGCTTTGTGCCGGATGCAATTGCCAATTTCTTTACGAAAATCGTGCGCGAGGCGGTCGATTACAGGGAGAAAAATCAAGTTCAACGTAAAGATTTCTTAAACCTGCTGATGGAGCTGAACAAAGGGAATCTAAAGTTCGAAGATAAAACAGATGGAAGAGGACTTTCAATAGATGAAATGACTGCACAGGTGTTTGTGTTCTTTGTAGCTGGTTTCGAGACATCATCTACCACTTTGGCTTTCCTGCTATATGAGTTGGCGCTGAACCCAGATATGCAACAGCGTTTACGTGAAGAAATCATTGAAGCGGTAGGGCAGCATGACGGCAAAGTTACATATGAGTGTATAAACTCAATGCCATACATGAAACAGGTTATATCAGGTGAGTAAAGTTGGAATATCAGTTTATTACTCATTGAGTAGTACAGAAAAATATCAAACTGCTCTTCCCCAGAAACCCTCCGCAAATATCCAGTTTTACCCAACCTGCAACGAGAAGCACTTGCGGATTATGTTGTGCCCGGACACCCGAAATATGTTATCGAAAAAGGCGCAACTGTCTTCATATCCGTCATGGGCATACATCACAATCCAGATATTTATCCAGACCCGCAGAGATTCGATCCGGAGCGTTTCTCACCGGAGGCGTTAAAGACACGAGACACCATCAATTGGCTACCATTCGGCGATGGTCCACGCAATTGCATTGGTTTGCGATTTGGACAAATGCAGATACGAGTCGCTCTCACCTACTTGCTTCAGAATTTCGTATTTATGCAATCAGGGCTTACTGAAGTCCCTTTGAAATTGAATATTAAGCAATTCTTGAACAGCAGCGAAAACGGCATACACTTGAAGGTTGAAAGAATTTAAGTTTATAAAACGTACCGAAATCGTGTCCTAAAATTAGAAAATTTTTTCAATATGAAAGATAAGTCAGCCTCTAAAGTAACTAAAATTTTAAAAAATGTTTAATTTGGAATTTTTTGATTTTCTATAATAAAAATAGCTTCGAACAAAAACTTTTATTGAACAGTATTCTTATCCATGGTATACCCCTTAGCTGGTTAGATTCGTTCCAAAAGGTTTATATTACAGATAATATAATTGATATATTAATGTAAACACTAACTTATCAATTATATTATCTATAATTAACTACACGATTTCTTGAAGTCTCGCTATCTATCGTCACGCGTCTGCATACCTTTTCTTTCAATACAGAGTCGGCTCTCAAATGTTCACATACCAGCGACTTTTACATTTGTGCCTGAACTAATCGCTGCTCTCACCGGCTTAATTTTGCTCACTTTTCTTCGCACCAATTCCTACAAGCTTTAAATTCTATTTAAACAACAACTGATTTTCTTTACCAAAGAATCTTTATCTTATCACAATCGCAACCTATAACAAGAATAAGGTGTGGTCTTTGTAAACGTAATTAATGGGAATTGAATTTACATTTCATGTAGATATGAAACAAATCTAAGGACTCGAGACTTCGACACATTTAGGCCGCGAAAAGAAAAAATGGTTTAGACCGCTAAGACTGCCTTCCCAGGTAAGCTTGCGACTTGCGTTGATTGGTTGGTTACTTGGCCGCACCTCAGCCATAGAGTATGTTCATTGTGCTATATCAATAAACTTACAGTGGACCCCCGATAATCCGGCAAACATTATGCAGGGCAGTGTCGGACCATCGAATTTGTCGGATTATAGAGCACTGCCTAAGACCCCTATAGTCCGGATTTTTTTACGAAAGAGTACCTTGTAATCCGACAAATTACATATCTAATGACGAGAGTCTATATATTATACGTACATATGTATGTACTTTGAAGTACAAATCAGACTTAATTTATGTAAGTCGAATTTAGTAAATTAAATAACAATTGAGAGTTTACGTTTTATTATAAAATTAAGCATAAATGCACATACATATCTACCAAAATAATCAAGAATTATTAATCAAAATCATGTAGTGAATACTATATCAAATTATGAAGCTTTGAAATATTCATCAATTTTTTTTTGTTTAAGGTTGTTATAACGCGAGATCAGAGCTTTGTCCCTCAGTCTTCTCAAAAGTAAAAGTTCGTTGTAGGATGTACCATTCTCTTCAGCCCATTGTAAACCTAGCTCAAAAGCATTAACTGCGTCTTGATCTGTGACTTGTGGAGCAGTTGCAATCACGTCGTCGTTATCTTCCTGATCGTTTGTTGTATTATTAGAAACCTCTTTTATAATATCTTCGTCAGACATTTCAAGAAAAACATTTTCTTCTTTATCCATTCCACGGCACCAGACTTCCAAATCTTCCGGACTTATCTGTGTTTCAGTAGAGACTTGTTCTATAACATCCGAAGTTACACTGATTTGTGGATCGTTGCTAGGAGTGGTGATTATATCTGGCCATAACTTTTTCCAAGACGATTTAATAGTTGATGACGGTAACGCACTCCACGACTGACTAAGAGCAAAAACCAAGTCTTTCATATTAAATTCTTTTAAAGTTTTTTCTATTGGTTGGTCTTTTGATACGGCTCTCAAAAGTAGGTTTTTTTTATAGTCTTGCTTAACAAACTGAATGATGTTCTGGTCCATTGGTTGAATCAGTGCAGTGCAATTTGGCGGAAGAAACATCGCAGTGATGCATTTATCCTCAGTTGTCAGTTCTTCTTCAGACGGATGACCGGGAGCGTTATCAAGAAGCAACAACGCTTTTTGAGGAAAATTATGATCTTTTAACCATTTTCTAACTTCAGGTACGAAGCATTCATCAAACCACTTTTTGAAAAGGTCTTTTGTCATCCATGCACTTTTTTGTCCGTAATAGTGTACAGGTAAATCAATGTTTTTGAATGCCCTTGGTTTATTAGATTTCCCAATGACCACCATCTTAAGCGCGTGTGTACCTGCAGCATTAGCACATGGTAGTATGGTTACACGCTCTTTACTCAATTTTCGTCCAGGTACGTCTTTTTCGTTACAAGAAACGAAAGTTTTGTTAGGCATCACACGCCAAAAAAGCCCTGATTCGTCTGCATTATACACCTGTGACGGGTCAAGATTTAAATCGTTCACCTTTTGCAAAAATCTTAATTTAAAGGGCTCTATGCAGGTGGCATCGTTAGAAAGTTTCTCTCCTGTAATAGTCATTAAACGTATGCCATGACGACTTTTAAAACGTTCTAGCCATCCTTTGCTGGCCACAAAATCATCTTTTTTTGTTATTTCCTTATAAAAAAACTTAGCTTTCATCGCCAACATGGGTCCCGAAATTGGTGCATGCCTGTTTCTTTCCTGAAGAAACCACATGTACAAAGCTTCTTCCACTTCTGGATGTTCACCTTTCTTGAGTGTCTGTCTCTTGCCTGGCCCGCAGTCAGTAGTTGACACGAACTTCTTAATCTTCTCGTGGTTTTTTTTAATGTCATAAATTGTAGATCGGCCTACGCCGTATTCACTTGCTAAACTACTGAAAGTTTCATTGCGATTTAAGCGATCTAAAATATCACATTTTTCTTTAATTGTCAACGTTTTGTGCTTTCGCTTCTGGGTTTGTGACGACATTACTAGGTACTACATATACCTAATACACAATGAATAAATAGTAAACAATGAACGTACGCTAGGCCGTACCGCTATCACTAGTAGTCAAATTCAAACTAAGTAAAACAATGCATACGCGTCGAGCACGATAGCGGTGGCGCGTTCGAGTTGTGACCTGTTCAAACTTGCGTGATCTATATGTATTAGCAAAGATTGTCAAACATAATTCTGTCATGTCGGATTACAAGGGGCGCCGGATTAGACAGGGGCCGGATTATCGGGGGTCCACTGTATTTAATTTTTGCCATCGATCGTAAAATTGGATCTGGGAATGCCGTGAAGGATCTGACGTATGGGCTGAAGGCTCGCAAATGTTCCAACATATTGTCATATTCTGTGCATGTTCTGGACTTAACTGTTTCCATTTTACCTCACTTCCTACATGGTGCATTGCTTTAGACAACATTTAAAGGCGTTCGTCAGTGACAACATCGGCCGCAGCCCAGCGCGACCCGCCTCTTTCGTCATTTCTTTGGCTTCTACATCTGTGTGGCCCCGCACGTAAGTGATTCATTCACTATGTTTTCTCGCGATAATCTGTCAAATGCCTCTTTGCATATTCTAGCGCTTTGGACTTTGTGTTGTGGTTTATCAGAGCGGAGACAAGACACCTCCTGAGGAAAGCCACATGTGTTAAGTAAATTAAATATTTCTTAAAAAAAATATGCGATAAATTTTTGCTTTACTGAATGCGCCGCACTTTTTTTTATTATTTTTATGTATTATTATTAAGTATGAACTCTTTTGCGCAGCACAACGCAAAAATTCTCAAGTTTGCAAATCAAGTATTTAATCAATGGAGAACTAAACGCCAAGAGAGCGCTCTCTCTACTCAAAGCTTCACTAGAGCAGATGGCAAATATTCATTGAAAAGATAAAAAGAGTACTCGTAAATGATAGCGAACAGAAATGAAAAACAAAATATTTTGGATTAATTATAAACACTTGCAACTGTAGTGCTTACAACAAACATATAAATTAATGTTTGTAATTACAACAATTTATTAGACCTTAGTTGTTATGTATTCTTGCCAAAGTTCAAACGCTGATATGTGTACACACATACCATACATGTATATGAATATCTTTAATTGATTAAAATGATGATTATAACTACGTAAAAAATGATAATTTGAAAAAAAAAACACTTATTTATGCTATTCTTGCCATGTAAAACAATCAAGAGCGCACCTTTTCGGCCTTCAAGTTTATATCGCCATCAATCATGCTCAAGAAGGTCTTCATGTTGTATTTTAACGGTATTTGGGTCTTCTCGCTAACGCTGAATTTAAAGTTCTTCAACAAATAGGCCAACCCAACACGCATTTGCATGAGACCAAAGCGCAAGCCGACACAATTGCGGGGCCCATCGCCAAAGGGCAACCACTCAACGGAGTCGCGTGCGGCGACCTTTTCGGGTGTAAAATTATCCGGATTGAACTCCTCGGGGTTGGGGTAATAATCCTCATCATAATGTATGGCCACCGCTGGTATCAAAACAAATGTGCCCTTCTCGATTTTATAACGTGGATTGTCCGCGACTTGGTAGTCCTCTCTGCATTCACGTGAGATTAGTGGAACAATTGTGTGTTTCCGAAGAGTTTCTAATAGGAAAATATACGAACTAATGCTAAATTTTTTGAAATAAATTTTAGCATTTCTACACACCTGATATGATCTGGTTAAGATAAACCATTTCGGACATGCACTCGTAGGTGAACTCGTCATTGTGGCGCGCCAACACTTCGCAAACCTCGTCCCGCGCACGCTGCTGTATCTCTATGCGCTGTGCTAGTTCGTAGAGCGCATAGCTCATGGCAGTCGAAGAGGTCTCGAAGCCTGCGACCAAAAACACGAATGCCTGCGCAGCTAACTCCTCTACTGTTATATTTGTCAATGCTTGACCATCCTCGGATTTCATCATTTTATTATTTTTCAGCTCCAAAAGCATATCGAAAAAGTCATTACGTTTGATATTATTCGACTCCCGATAAGCGATGTTCTCACGCACAATACGCATATAGAACTCTGTAATATGCTCCGGCGTCATCTTTACGTGCAAACGGCGGCAGAGTTTGGGAAAGAGCACAATGAATGCGTTGCATAAATAACCATGGCGCTGATCTAAAAACACACGCCTACCCATCTGTCGGAAGGGATCATTCGGATTCTTCAAACTATTGCACTCAATGCCGAAAGCACACAGGCCAATCACATCCATAGTGAAGCGCGATACTAAGTCACGTACCTCCACATTTGGTCCAGCCTTCAACGTCTCTTCAACAACCCTTACCAGCTCAACACCCACCTGCCTGAGAATCGGAAACATATTTTTCATTTTGCCTGAAGTGAAGGTAGGTGAGAGCTTATTGCGCATTACACGCCATCTGTGGCCTTCCAAGAGAAAGAGCTGCCCTGTGAGCGGATCATCTTCCGGATTGCTGTAGAAACCACGATCGACGAAGTTTTGGAAGTCCTTAATGAGTATTGATTTCACCAAGCTAGTCTCGAGCACAAATACAGCCGGACGTTGTATCCAATAGAAACCGCAAAATGGACCGGTGCCTTTGAATTGAATTTCTTATATGTGTCTCGTGCGATATCCGCGAAAGTGCGCGTCTTCAGAATACCCGTCAGACTGCCAGATATAAAGTTGGGCTTATCGCATGGTATACCAAGATCCTGCCAGTACTGCATACGTTTACGTAGCCAGTAGATGCAGTAGCCCAACAGTGTTAGAGCGGTGACGATAAGAAATTGCGTTGTTAGCATGTTCGCGTGCGAAAATGCCCACACCAATCAAAAGCTGTTGTTCACTGTTCTTATTTGGCTGCTGAAATTTTAAATGCTGATCTAATAGCGCAAAAATACTTCAGAATTCCAAAAGAGTATAACAGAGACAAAAAGCTCAAGCGAGACATATGCCGCCATAGTTATGCGTAATTAAAAGTGAAGAGATGAAAGGGACAAAGCGATGCGATGCGACTTTGCGCTCGTCAGTGAGCGGATTGATTGTTGTGCTCTTTATTATTTCTAAAAGAGCAAAGCTTGAAAATCAAATAAATAAATAATGGATAAGTTTGTATTAGTGCATATCTAAATGTCCCGTGCTAAATCAAACAAAAAGAGACTCGAGAACAACGCATGAAATATTTAGTGCAAGTTGCGATTTTTTGCAGTAATAAAACAAAAAGAAGCTTGTGGCATAAGTAAAAATCTTAGAAAGTTTATATTAATTTTTCTCAGAATAAATCGTTTTATTATTACGCAAAGAACTATTATTTATCTGATAACTTGTCATAATCTGATTCCCCCATCCTTATTTTTCCTTTTTTTTGGAGCTCCCGAGATTTTTTGAAGACGCAAACAGAGTGAAAAAACAATTAAGTTGAGTCCTGCACTAAATAATAATATTAATGTAATAATAATATTTTTTTATTTCACATTAATTAAAGCTAGATTATTATAAAATCGCAAATCGGTTTGGTTTTCTTAAAGAACAACAAGCCAATTCTAGAACCGTACTATTCACTTAAATCTCTAATCACTTGCAGCTCAGCGTACCGTACTATTCACTTAAATCTCTAATCACTTGCAGCTCAGCGTCCACCGATCAAACTAAAACCTTCTCAACACGCAGATAGATGTCTCCCTCAGCCATCGACACAAAAGTTGTTTTGCTGTATTGTATGGGAATCTGCGTCTTCTTACTAACGCTGAATTTAAAATTCTTCAACAAGTGAGCTAAACCGACGCGTGTCTGCATGAGACCAAAACGCAGGCCAATACAGTTGCGGGGACCATCGCCAAAGGGCAACCACTCAACGGAGTCGCGTGCGGCGACCTTTTCGGGTGTAAAATTATCCGGATTGAACTCCTCGGGGTTGGGATAGTAATTCTCATCATAATGTATGCCCACTGCTGGTATCACCACAAACATGCCTTTCTTAATCTCATAACCTGGATGATCTGGCACCGGGTAGTCCTCCAAGCATTCACGCGTTAGCATCGGCACGATGGTGTGCTTACGCAGAGTTTCTGTGGTAAAGTGGGAAATGTTATGAAGATATACACTTTAACGCTAACTAACCTGATATCACTTGATTCAGATAAATCAACTCATTCATACACTCGTAAGTGAACTCGCCATTATGGCGCGCCAGCACTTCGCATACCTCCCGACGCGCTCGCTCTTGCACATCCACACGCTGTGCCAGCTCATACAAAGCAAAGCCCATTGTTGTCGATGAGGTCTCGAAACCTGCAACCAAAAACACAAATGCCTGCGCAGCTAACTCCTCTACAGTTATATTTGTCAACGCTTGTCCATCCTCGGATTTCATTTTTTTGTTATTTTTCAGCTCCAAAAGCATATCGAAGAAGTCATGGCGTTTGATATTATTCGATTCCCGGTAAGCGATGTTCTCACGCACAATGCGCATATAGAACTCGGTAATATGATCTGGCGTTAGTTTGATGTGCAGACGCCGACACAATTTCGGAAATAGTATTATGAATGCAAAGCCTAACAGATTATGGCGCTGATCTACAAACACACGGCGGCCCATCTGGCGGAAGGGATCGCCGGGATTCTTCAAACTATTGCAATCTATACCGAACGCGCAGGAGCCAATCACATCAGTTGTATAGCGCGCCAACAAGTCACGTATCTCAATCGTTGGTCCCTCTTGCAGTGCCGCTTCAAATACCAGCCCCAACTCGGCAGCAACGTGTGTCACAGTCGAAACCATTTGCTTCATTTTGCCGGAGGTGAAGGTTGGCGAGAGCTTAGTACGCATTGCACGCCATTTATGGCCGTCCAAAGCAAAGAGATGGCCTGAGAGAGGATCATCCTCTGGATTTGTGTAGAAACCACGATCGGTGAATTTATTAAAGTCCTTGATGAGTATTGCTTTAACCAAACTAGTATCGAGTATGAAAGCCGTCGGACGCTGAAACCAAAAGAAACCGCAAAATGGGCCGGTACCTCTGAATTTGCGATATGTGTGCAGCGCGATATCGGCGAAGGAACGCGTCGTGCGCATTCCCACCAAATTGCCAACCAAGTAATTGGGCTTATCACATGGAATGCCCCGCATCTGCCAGTAGCTGAGGCGTTTGCGTAACCAATGGATAAAATAACCGATAAAGGTCGCGATTGTAAATATCAAGACTTGCGTAACCGACATTTCAATGCACACTTTCACTGGCAACCAAACGATTCAAATGTATCTGCTGGACTAATCAGATAAAATAAATAATGCAACTGGAAAACCGAAAGCAAGAAGCTTTCATTGTTGACTTTGAGAATGAGAAAGATGTTATGTGACAAAAGCTCTTTCCTCTCTCTCTTACGGCTCCCGAGAGTAAAGTTAATGTTATATATTTCATTTTCTGTTTGGTTTTATGCAATATAAACAAGAAATTCTAAAATTTGCTTATGTCAATCTCAAGCAATAAGGTGGAACGTTATAAAGTGCATAAAAATAGATGAAGACTCTGTTCTGCTGATGAATCATAATCATTAAGGTGCATCGCCTCAAAAAAAAAGTGTTTACATCTCTCCGCACTTTACCTTCCGATACCACGAGTGAGGATTGCATTGTCAATTTTCAAATCTGGAGAGTTTAAGAATTTGCAAACGACATGTCATCGCCACAGAATAGCAGCTTCATCATCTGCCGAGCAGCAACGTTCTTACTTCTGTTTCTAACAAGATGGGGCGACTGTACAAACTGTTTGGTCAACTTTGGACTTCACGCGTGAAGTTATTGGTCTTATCCTACCGAATATTCTTGGTTTACTGTACTTGCTTTCCAAGCAAGAAAATGAATTTGCTCGCTCAGATATAAAAATTTTATGGCGTCGGAGATTTGTGACAGAGCCTCAGAGCTCTGTGGTGTAGAAACTCGCTTGTTTCTTCAGGATAAGCTGAACTACTAGCTCAAACGCAGGTTTTAGAAACGTTGTTTGTAGATTTTAAATTCCAATTGAGGGTTTCCAAAAATCCAAATGGAAATCATTAATTATATTCAGAAATAAGAAAAGCGTTTTAGGTTTACAGTCAGAATTATTCTTTTTTATTCTCCTATTTTTATTCTCTTATTTCAATACAATAAATTTTGTTGTAATAAGAACTTTTCTGGAATTTTTATATTTTGTTCATCAACCAAAAAATTTATATTTAACAAAAAAACTTCATTAAAATCCAAATCCAAGTACGTATTCGTGTCTAAGAAATTGAAGGTACAAAAATACCATTCCTCTTGAGGGGACAAATAAGCAAAAACAAACTGAGAATCTTTAGACATTACAAATACACTGGCAGTCGCGGATTTAAGAAAGAAGGAAAGCTTAGAAAAAAAATTCAAAAAACATTTTTGAAAATTTCGAAAGCAATATTACGAGTTCAGGCTTTAAATCACAGTCAGTTTCAAGTTGTTGTACATTTTCTGATGCACAGACTCTAAATATAAATACACAAAGCGCATGTAAGGGTGTATATAACACACTCTACACACACACATCGATACCCACGTACAGGTATTAGGAAGTTCACATTAAGTTCATGGCAAATAAACTTATTTTGGTTAAAAAACGTGATTGAAGAAAAATATAAAACTACTTTTCCAAAGACGTTTTGGTTGCTTTTGACTTAGATACTACTTGTCTCTCTTAAAACTATTGTACATGGGCATTCCAAGCCCTAAATGCGTTCTACCTTCAAGAATATGCCATTTTTCGGAATTGTTGAGAAGGACTTGCTGATCTGCACGGGCACCACGGTTTGCGTACACAGTGCGAAGTGAAAATTCTGCAGCAAATAGCACAGTGCGACGCGCATTTCCATGTGGCCGAAACGAAAGCCAATGCACTTGCGCGGACCATCGCCGAAAGGCAACCACTCGACCTTCTCACGTGCACTTACCATTTCCGGCGTGAAGCGTTCCGGATCGAACTTCTCGGGATCCGGATAGATTTCGGCATCATAATGTATGGCAATAACGGGTATGGTTACCAGCGTGCCTGCGGGTATCACATACTTCGGATAGCCGGGTACGACGTAGTCGTTTAGAGCTTGACGAACCAAATGCGGTAGTATTGGATATTTTCGTAAGGTTTCTGCGATAAACAAAACATGCCAAAAGACAGTTATATAAAGCAAACGCCGTTAAACTCACCAGCAAACACCTGCTTCATATACGCCATCTTATTCATACACTCATACGTCAGTTGATTGTCGTGTTGAGCCAGCGTCTCATTTATCTCACAACGTAAACGCGCCTGTACCTCCGGTTGCATAGCCAGCTCATAGAGCGCAAAAGAGAGCGTCGACGATGATTTTTCGGAACCTGCAGCAAAGAAGAAAAACGCTTGCGCTGTCATCTCCTCCACACTCAGACCCTTAAATTCATCATTTTCATCATACCTTAATTTCTTACAGCCACTCAGCTCCATCAACTGTTGCATCAAGTCGTTGCCGCGCACCTTGTGCTCCAACCTGTACGCCACATTCTCACGCACGAAACGCATAAAGAACCTCTCGATGTCCGGATGTATTGTGGCCATATGTAACTTACGCGCCAATTGCGGAAACCCCTGCATCAGTCCGGACAGCAGTAACCCGTGGCGCCGATCGGTGAAGATACGGCGCCCAATTGTACGACACTCAGCGTTCGGATTGGTCAAACTATTGCACTCAACACCCAGCGCACACTTGCCAATCACATCGGTGGTGTAGCGACCCATCACCTCCTTGATCTCCACGCACGAATTACGCTGCAGCATTTCTCCAAGTGTAACTACCATTTGCTGTGCTTTCTGGCGCACACATGGAAACATGCCACGCACTTTGGACTCGGTAAACGTCGACGATAGTTTGCCATGCAATACATGCCACTTGGCACTATCAGCAAAAAATAAGTGCCCCGTCAGCGGATCGTCTTTCTCGTTGTAAAATAAACCGCGATCGCTGAAGTTCGAGAAGTCTTTAATCAATATATTCTTTACCAGCTGCATATCCAATGCCATCACAGCCGGTCGCTGAAAGAAGAAATAACCGCAGAAGGGGCCAGTGCCCTTGTAGCGCTGATACATTGAACGCACAATCTCGGCGAAACTGTATTGCTTGCTGACACCACTGAAACTGCCAAATAGATAACTGGGCTTGTCGTGTGGTATACCACGCGCACGCCAAAAGTTCATGCGAAGCCAATAGAAGTATGTAACTGCCATTAAAAGGGTAGTGATACTGGCGAGCAGTACAAGCGTCAATGCCATTGTGAAGTTCGATATTTTAGAATGCAAATAAAAGTATGTTCCAAGTGAATGCTTGACTTATATAATTATAGTATATCACAAGTTGAGTATAGCTGACAAACTAAATATTTCTCGACGACTCGGCACACTTTTATATAGCGCTGCAGCCAACAAGCAAGTGCCCGACGCCGCAGTAAGCCGACACGCGCTGCTGTTCATGGTTGATGTCTAGCATTTTGATTAGACTATTGGGTGGAGTATCTCATTAGCGGAAGATGTGTGAACTAGTGCGCGCAGGCCAACAGTGAGTTAGTTGTTCAAAGTATAGCGTTAGCTAGATCTTTCAACTTGGCTACGTAACTACTTCAAATACAGTTCATACCTTGTAGTTCGGCGACTCTTGCCTGCGTAATTTTCTAGAGAAGCTTGGCCCAACATCTTTGATATTTGTAAGCATCAAAGCATTTCAGTGCACTCGGCACTATACAACCAGTCGGAACTGCGCAGTTTATACGTTTAACTATAATATTTATACCCTCAATGAAAACGAAAAGGCAAGTAAAATATGAAATTACCGGAAGGAAAGGAAATAAAGTTAAGGTAAATGACGAGCTGACTTTATCCAAGTTTGTGAGCCCATCTCAATATATTCGTAGGAAACTTGGTATCTATATATATTTTTCCAATATATTTCTTGATCAGACGATAGAAACATATAGCTGCCATACAATTAAAATTTCAAAAACGTTTGTAACACACGTTTAAGGTTCTATTATGATCCACAAAAGGTGGGAATCGGAACTCATCGCTGCCATAAATCTTACCTTAAAAAAATTCGTTTTTGAGCTAAAACTCGCATGGGAAGACCATTAAGAAAATTAAATTTGGTACACTCTCTTTCTCTTCAGTTTAGAAAATTTAAATACACATTTTGCATAGTGAAATTAATATGTTATTGACATATTTGAAACTGTTTAATATTAAAATAACATACAAACAAGTATAAATGTATATTTTATGTTTTCGTGATATGATTGCCAAGCAACGCTTTGTGGTGAAATTCTTTGCGGCGCAGAACTCGTTTTTTAGAAATGCCTACATACGTATGTGGCATCGCATATGTACATACCGTATGTATATGTGTAATACTTGTTGTTTACAAACATTCATAAATGTTTGTTTTCCAAAGGAATTTTTGTAGTAAATAACACTGCATCCCTCGAGTATTTTAACATAATTTTTTTAGAACTTCTTACCAGAGAGAGAGAGCGTGAGAAAAAGAGAGAGAGAGCGAGAGAGAGAGAGAGAGGAAGAGACTCTCACGGCTACAAAAAGCCCACTATGACAAGCGATCCTGCTCGACAGGTTTATTATCAGAACGCCAAAGAAAAAGGCGACAAACATGCGAGAAATATACGAAGTGATGAGCTAGATCCAGCAAAGAACCTTTGTGAAATGAGTGGCAACCGCAATTAAAATTTTTTTTTTTATAATTCTGGATTTCAACGAAAAAATCAATGGCTACAACAATAAACTAATGCAAATAATAACATAAATAAATTAAAAAAATTTAATTTTAGTACTTAAGTACGATTATTTGGTTGATAGTAATTCTTATATGTCACGCAAAGGAATCAGATTTGTGGTGCATTTTTGGGTGAAGTTTTTTCCATCTTTTTGGTTCAGATATATATTTTAGAATTTTTTCTTGGAGAAATGATTGTTCAATATCCGCAAACACCGTAATTTTCCTCCTAAAGGCCGAATATCCAAGATTCGGTTTCATCCGAGTTCAATCGTGCTTACTTTTAACTCAGATAGATGAGCTCTCAAGACAAAAAACGTTTTGTTAAAAAAAATTAATATCAGATTTGAAAATCCTAACACCCTGTATTTACCTATGCCAATCACAATAAAATTCCAAACCTCACACAAACCAAGCGATATCGCACCATTTGAGTGGCAAATGAAAAGGCGGAGAATGCAATTGCATTCTTTACAGCGCAAGCAAGCACACACACGAACGAAAGCGAATTTTCAAATAATATTAGCACCTAATTAGCTTAACAAATACGAATGCACTAAAAAAAGCATAAATCACGTCTATTTGTGCGCGAATAAAAGTATTTGCAGGCGTTAATAAATTTTAAATCTTTTTTCTCTTCTTCAAAAAAAAAATAATAATAATAATTAGTCACTAATTTTTATCTGCTCCCAAATGAAGTATTTTATTGACTAGTTCAAATAAGAACTCCGAAAATAAAAATAATTACTGTTACTCGGCGTTCTTTTCAAGGCTCTCAGTTTCGCATGAACAAGAATTTATAAGTATGTTTGTGTGTAAAAATTTTGTTAACTCCATTATTTAAGTACTTGTGATGAATGTATGCATTAATGATGTATTTCCTTGAAAGGATCCTGGCTGTTTCTTCAAATTCCATCAACTCTCAGATGTATACCACCCTCCGGAAATAAGGGGAAAGTTTTCTGGAAAACAATCGGTATCTGCGTTTGCTCGCTGGTTGTGAACTTAAAGCGACGCAGCAGATAAGTCAAGCCGACACGCATCTGCATTTGCCCGAAACGCATGCCAATACAGTTACGCGGACCATCGCCGAAGGGCAGCCAATCGACGGAGTCGCGCAACCGCAGCGCATCGGCTGAGAAACGTTCGGGATCAAATTTATCCGGTTCGGGATAAATCGCGGGATCATAATGTATGCCAATTGTTGGTATTGTGACCATCATGCCCTTCTTTATAACATAGTTTGGATGACCTGGCACCACATAGTCTGCTGCCGCTTGACGCATTAGATTCGGTGCAATTGGGTATTTGCGTTGAGTTTCTTATGCGGAGAAAAATATTGTAAATTATACAGTTTAACTGAAAACCGAAATGCTACTCACCTGCCAGCACCTGTTTCATATAGTGCATATCCTCCATACACTCATAGGTGAACTCATTGTTGTGTTTCTTGATAGTCGCCTCGATCTCTTGTCGCAAGCGCTCTTGCAGCTTGGTTTGCAGCGCCAACTCATAAAGCGCGAACGCCAGCGTAGTCGATGAAGTCTCAAAACCCGCTACGAAGAACACAAATGCCTGCGCCGTCATTTCGCTCACGCTCAATGCGCGCATTTGATCGTTTTCGCTCTTTAAATGTTTGCCCTTATTCAAATCCATCAAAATGCTCATGAAATCGTTTGTGTGTACGGCATTGCGTTCACGATACGCCACATTCTCACGCACGATGCGCAAAAAGAAGTCTGTAATCTCTTGTGGCATAATGGCCATACGTAGGCGACGCGCCAATTTCGGAAAACTATTAATGAAAGCATTAATGAGCGGACCATGTCGCCGCGAGCCGATAATCCGACGTCCCATTACACGAAACTCGGCATTCGGATCCTGAAGACTGTTGCACTCAATACCGAAGGCGCAGTTGCCAATCACATCGGTGGTGAAGCAGGCCATCATTTCTTTCCAATCCCACACATGCTCATCAGCCACCAAGCGCTTCGAAACGGCGATAATCAGCTGATCGGCTACTTTCAATATCGTTGGGAACATGAATTTCATTTTGCCTGTTGTGAAGGTGGGCGTTAACTTATTGCGCAAGCCACGCCACTGTTGGCCATCCAAACGAAAAAGATGCCCTGTGAGCGGATCATCTTTTTCGTTGTGAAAAATGCCACGATCGGCGAAGTTGTTGAAATCCTTAATGAGTATGCTCTTGATGAGCGCGCGATCGAGCACCAGAACAGCGGGGCGCTGAAACAAGTAATAGCCACAGAACGGTCCGGAGCCACGATGATGATCATAAATTTCACGCAGAATTTCGGCGAAGCTACGCGTCTTCATTAACCCTTTCAAATTGCCAGCAAAAAAGTGCGGCGGATCATGCGGTATGCCGCGATGGCGCCAATAGTTCATACGTCGTTGCAACAAGTAGTAAATAAACGAGAGCAATGCCCCAAGCGCGGCAATTAGAATCGCAAGCACTGACATTGTTTCTGCTTTAGCGGCAGCTATTGAACAACTGATCGGCGATAAAGCAAATTTTTTTGCGAGTGCAAGTGTACGAGTATGTACGTGTAGTAAATAAATAAATAATAACAATAACTAAGAGCGCGCTCAAGCACTAAGTACCGACAAATGTACACGGTGGCACAAAGGCGAATTCTGGGAACCGCGTACCGTAAATTCCAAATCGAGTGCCGCGATGTGTAGCAGTTTTTTATTTTATTTTACAAATGACTGATTGACTGCGAATAAATCGGTTAAGTTACTTACATACAAACATGTGTATACATTTAACTGTTAAACAGTAAACATACATATAATATATAATATATTAATATCGTAGCCTAGATAAGGCCGACGTTGGGCAATGACAAATTCAGATACTTAAAAGCGAGTTTAACATGCAACCCAGTGAGCAAGATCAAATTTGTTTTGAGCGCAGGCCTTTCAAAGCTAATTGCTTTGACAGTTGTGGAGTATGACAGCTGGGAACTGTAACATACGAAGCGACTAAACACGAGTACAATACACTTCACTAACTAAACGTACAAGACTTTTTGGAAATATGTAGGCATTCCAGATTTTAATATTTGTTAACTTTCATGAACCAAATATAATTTTTCCATAAACAGCTGGATTTCCTTATGCATCTAACACATACATCTTCTTTTCTTTTCTTCCGTCTGAGAATAAAAAATGATTCAAGAGTATTTGAAATTAACCTTGCTGCTTTTAAATTTTCAAATATTTGCGAATTGGTTTGCTGTACGAAAAGCTTATCGCGTGTCGTTCTGTGAATATCCCTACTGAATACTCCGGTGCTTAAAAATGCATGGGGCTTAAGTGCAATGAAATGCGTCACTTTTTCTTTTCATAAACACAATTACAAATACAAAGATATATGTATGAAGGTTGTTGCATTTAACAAAAAAAGTTCATTCCGCCTCAAATTAAAAAATATTTCACATTGCAAATCCGCTGGAATTACAATAAAATACCTTTTGCAAATAAAATAAGTAAGGAAGACTTTGTCCCACTGGATCCGCAAATGAAATCCCCGGCTGAAACTTTTATTTATTATATACAGATAGAACGATCGAAAATAAAATGTCTGTTATATCGGAGGTAGCTCTATTTTTGCATCTATGGCCATGCAGTAAGGTCGCTATTTGTCCAACAAGGAATGTGCGAACCAAATCGCAACCAAATATCTCAAACCGTACTTGAGTTATCATTTATACAGATCGATTCGTCTCCTCTTTCCATGGAGCTTTCAACCTACGTACGAGTATATTCGTAATAAATTTCGAATTTTGTATGCCGTTTTATTCAACCGTTCGGAGAACAAACCTAATTTACTCTAGGTACATAGCATAGCCGAGTATAAAACACGATCCGAACGCATTACGTCGTCTTTTGCTTCTTGACGCATAATTATTGTATTTGCTCTACTCGGGGGAAGCTCTCGCGTCTTATCACGTTGCAAAACAATAACACAAGGAAACCACGTATTTATGTGCATATGAATGTATGCATACGAGCATTTAGTCTGATAATGTAAATTCGTCGGAAATCAAATACAGTAAATGCGCTATTTATTGACTGTCTGAATTTTTTATGACGATAATAAATATTTTTTAACATTAATTCAAATATATGAAGGACTTTAATATGGATAAAAGTTAAAAAATATATTTAAATATTTTTTGTATTTCTTTTTCGACACAGAAGCATTCACTGTTCGCGATAATTGGTGGCGGAGAATAAATATTTCCATTTTAATTTTTTACTTTTGATGCGATAACATTTTCCTTCCATTTATCGATCAGTATTCAGTGTTACTATTAAATATTAAGAAATAAGGTTTAAGCTACGATCCTGGAATCATCAGAGTCTCAAAACAATTTTAATTTCAATTTTTATGTAATATCGTATACCGTTAAATGTTTTGGTCATTGAAATGCTTTTTATGAAAAAGTACCATCAGTACCCGCGTGATTACTCACTTAGTTATCTAGATATTAGTACTTAAATAGTTCTCTTTATATACTCGTATTTCGTTTAATCAATCTGTCAAACGAAAATTCGATAATCACCGCCTATTAATATTATATAATATTATATGGTTTTCAACAATATCTCTCCCCGTAAAAATATAATTAATTAGTTATGTATTACCGCTTTCATGGAGTAGCTCACTAGCTCAGCTTCTAATCAGCTTCTTCCATTACTTGTTTAAATGGTTTATTTATATATGAAAATCATTCGTCATACTTATATATACACTAATTATCTCGTTAAATAAAATATTCGGCATGCTAAGTCATTCAACAATGTGCTTAAAAAATGATATTAATCATATGAGAACAACTAAAGGTATTTTCTAGTGCCAACAATCTCGTTTATGTGTTCGGGATTCTGCAATAAATTCCAAAATGAAAAAATTCCAACTAAACTTATTTTATAACGCTGCATTTCGTAATACTATAGAACCCAACACCAAGCGATAAATGAAAAAAGCGCTCATTTCTGTATCTTTTTTATTACAGATTCGTAGGTCACAAGCATAAACTTATTATGAAGCTCAAACAACTGTTGAACACGAGTTGTCTTGCCGGCCTGAGCCAGGTGAGGAAAAAGGAGATAAAATTAATAATTAATTCTGGCAGTAAATACCTCAATTTAATCTCCAAACTTTTATATAATCTATACTTAAATACATAATTATTATCTCAAAATAAAACTTATGAATTTACTTTCGTTTTTATCACTTCAAATTTTGATGATAAGATAAATGGTACATAAAACCAGCAAGCACTAGGGTAGTCTTTCATTCGATTGCGTGCAACAGGTGCAAGAGCGCTATATTTGGAGTTTTATTAGAAGCTTTCTGATATGTTTGCTTTGCTCTTAACAATACTAAGTTGTCCCGTGCGACATGCAATGTGTTACCCTTGCAACAAGTCATATTAGTAATATTAATTTGTTGAATAGCACTCCAAAATAAAATTTTGTATTGTATAATAATAATTCCCCACACAAAATAAAATAAATGTAATTATTATGGGTAAGTATGTAAATATGTTACGCTAATGTATGATACATTATTATTTTACTTATCCGTTGGCAGCTTGTTCAATTAGATAACAATTAAATCAGTTACTTTAACATTTTAATTTTATCAATACGCTGATAATGTCTCTTCTGCCGGTCATGACCAACCTATTATCGTGAATATACATAGATGCATGTATGTATATATATATATATGTATATATATATATATATTATCTGAGTTGAAGTCAAGGTTTTCTTGTGTTCATGTACTAAAGATATTTAAAGTCTTACCAGTCTATTTCACACTCTCAGTCACGCGCAAACACAGCAAAAACAAATATGGAAAAAATAAGTAAAAGCAACTACATAAGCTATGAGCATTAGAAATGGAGCTATTTATATATTTCCATATACATATATTAGACTGCAATTGTTGAAAAATGTCTATAGAAGTAAAGTCTATTCAAATCGTTTCTCAAGCTTTCGAAATCGCGAGAAATATTGATCACTTTTGCGCATCTACGATACAACAATAAAACAACAACAATCTTTATTCTCCGTTTAAGCATTGATTTTAGCGCGGATGCTGTATGTATATAATGAGAATTTATTGCATTGCGACAACCGATTACAGCGTTTTAAGGTTAGTGAATAAGCACACACAAATATGCACGCATACATACGAATGTATTGTGCTCATGACCGGCAGTTCAGTTCTTAATTCATATTATTTTTATTTTATTTTATATCATTATAATTAATTTAATTTAGGTTAGTTTAATTGAATTCATATTCGTTTGACTTAATTAAATTTGTTTTATGTCAGTTTAAATTAATTTCATTGCATTTAATTCAAGTGAATTTAGTTCAATTTTATTTGACTTAATTTAATCTATTGTAATTTTGTTTTATGTTATTTTATTTGTAATTTTATTAGAGATAAACAAAACTTGTTTATATTGAACACGCCAAAAATAAATTGACTTTGTTCTACGCTCGTTCAACGCTCTTCTCTGCAAAAAAATTTAATTAGTTTTCGCTGCTTTCAACACCTCTCCCGACATGCAGCTACCAACAAGTCAGAGTCCCAGTGAAATCCCGCCTTACCCCAACCGCAACCTGATCGCAAGTAACAGCGAAATGTTCACCGATAAAGGCGATGATTAAAGTGGAAATATTTAAAAGCAAAAGCGACGAGCTCGCTCCGCCGCGCTCCAGCAATGACTCCGCTGGAAAAGCGAAGCGTGTAGCGTGAGAGCCCAGCGCGGAGTGTGAGTAACTAGCAAAGCACTTAGGTAATCGAAACGCTTAGTAAGCGGTTGAAACGCGCGCTGAGCGGCAGCGTTAGGAAAAAACTTGCCAAAAGTGAAGTGTTTTTGAGGTGTTTTTTTTTTTAATTTTTTTTTTCTGTTTAAAAGCACAAAAAAAACGTTTGAGGTGCCGGTAGCGGTAGCGGTGGCGGGGCAGAGCAAGTGAATACAGCATATGTGTGTATGTGTATGTGTAAGATATTATGAAAATATTTTAGTTGAAGTTACACGACTTTCGTACATTCGCACGTTCTTTTTTTTTGAACTTTAAGCCAATGTGGCCTTGAAAAGGGCAAACACTCAACTGAAATTCCATTGCGCTGAACAAACAAATAAACAAAAGGTACGAATACCATACACAAGTGCCATCAAAATGTGGTGGGTCTGGTTAATTGTTGCAGTTGTGATCGCCGTCCTCGTTATTTTCGTATTAACGCCGCTCCTCTATATCTGTTATAAGCGTAACTACTGGCGTTGGCATAATGTGCCCTTCGAGCCACCCGCTCCCGAGTTTGAAATCCTGCAGCGTCTCTTCGGTCTGCGTCCCACATTGGAGTGGGAGGAGCTGGAGCACTACGATTTACTCTATCGCAACTTCAAAGGTCGCAGTCCATTTTGCGGTTTCTATCATCTCATGCAACCGCGCGCACTCATACTCGATCGAGAGCTGATTATGCAGATACTCATTAAGAACTTCTCAAATTTCAATGATCGCGGCATTTACCACAACAGTAAACATGATCCGCTCTCTGCTGATTTGTATAGTCGACGCGGTAGCGAGTGGAAAGAGATGCGTTTGCGTCTCGAGCCGATCTTCGCAAAAGATGAAATGCGCTACCTGTACGATGGCTTGCGCGAGTCAAGCGCAGAATGGTTGCTGGGCTTCGACCAGCTGGTACGAAACGAGCGCGCACATAGTGGTTACATTGAGATACGTACACAGATACGTCGTTATGTATTGACGACATTGGCAGCTTGTGTTTTCGATTTGACTGCGGCGCGCCAAGAAAAGTATCCGCTCAATGTTTTCGAAGACATGACTCATCTCGAGCACACTACATCACGTCATAGCGAGTTTGCGAATGCATTCTTACGTCGCTACCCACGACTGGGTAAAAAGATGAAGTTGCGTACGACAAGTAAAGAGGTTGAAGACTATTTCACCGGACTCATTACAGAAGTGGTAAATGAGCGTGAGCAGAGTAGCACTGAGAAAAAGGACTACATGCAGCTTTTGGTGAATTTGATGCAACAGGAATTGAGCACACACGAGGTAGAGGATCAAACTATGAAGGAACTTAAGGAACACTTGATGGGCGAGTTGGCGGCGCATGCTATATCTTTCCTGAAAGCTGGACTCCGCCCCACCACACATACGTTAACGTATATATTGTACGAGTTGGCGCTAAATGATCCTATACAAGAACAACTGCGCGCGGAGATTGAGGTCGCACTGAAACGACACAACAATGAACTCACCTACGACTGCTTACGTGAACTTAAATTTCTCGGTCAGGTCATATCAGGTAAGTGAATTTATTGTATGAAACACCACACGAGAGTATTCACAAACCCTACCTTTTAATTTCCAGAAACCATACGTCTACATCCCGTCGTCCCGTACCTAATACGTCGCACACTCACCGACTTCCCAGTGCTAAGTGACAACAAATATGTTCTTCCCAAAAATATGTTCATCATCGTGCCGACACACGCTATACACAACGATGCCGAGTACTATCCCGAGCCGTTCATCTTTAAACCGGAACGTTTCGGACGCGAAGATAATAAGCGCCGCGATATCTGTATGTGGTTGGGTTTCGGCGAAGGACCGCGCAGTTGCATTGGTCTACATTTTGCGCAACTAATTATGCGTCTACTCCTGGTTCAGCTGATCACGCGTTACCATTTCACAGTAGACCGCACGCGGCTGATGGTGAAGCCGCAGAATGTGATTAGATTGCGTGTAGATCCTCTTGACGAGCAGGCCGATGGGAGAGAGGCTGATGTGGTCATTTAAGTAATTTAGATTAATGCAGGGTATCGTTGAAGAGAAGTTTGGTGAATTTTGTTGAAAGCACATGGAGTTTTCTGTTGTAAATATGTATATTTATTTATGTCTTTTAAGTAGTTATAAGAGACAAAGAGTGGTTAATTACATGCAAATGTTGAGTTCATACTCCAAGTTTCATTGGAATTAAAAACAAATACATACAAACTAGTTCAAGGGAGTGAAAATAACGCTACCTCACAGTATTGGCATAGCTCTAAGTATAGAAACTTATGTATACATACATACATATACCATGAGATATCAGCAATGACATCTAACTTAAGACGAATCGCAGATTTTTTTGTAAATAAAAGCAAATGTATTATACACAATTCTTTCCGAAAAAATATTTCCTTAGCTTGGATTAGTGTACTCAATAGAGGAACAAATAAGCGGAATTTGGAACAATTAAAAGTAACTTAAAACACGAGATCAATCTCAGTTTCTTCCAGCTTATATGAATCTTATGCTTAACCATTGAAATCTTACCTTTGGTAAGTCAACTCTTATAATGCCCGCTAAAAAAATCCTTATCAAAATAAATACAACGATAACGGTTATCGAAGGAATGCCACGAACAAATTTTGGAAAATTATGAAAACGCGTCATCAACATAAAAGCAACACTCAATTTGATATTCGATCAATGAGTAAAGTGTTTATCTTTAAATTATAACAGTATTTCAGATAGAGATTATTAAAATAAAGTAAAAAAGGAAATAAAAGAAATGAAGTATACCAAACGAAAATATGTGAATAAAATAAAGCCACAAGGAATAAAACAGAATTAATAATAGGAAAAAACTAAAAAAAAAAAATTAAATTAAATCGAAAAATAAAAACGAACATAAAATGAAAAATTTAATAAAATCAAAGTAAGAAAACAAATTAAAATAAAATTAGCTCAAAAATAATAAATAAATAAATCAAAATAAATAAAATTAATTTAATTAAATAAAATGAATTTATTTGAAATAAATTAAATGAAGTGAAAAAAATCAAAAAAAGTACAAAAAACCAAACAAGTTGCCGACTCATGCATGTCACAGCCAAAAACTTAAATAAGCAGCAAATTCGAAAAACCGCAAAATCAGCATCAAAACAATAACTTTCTTCTTCTTAATCTTCTTGCTCGCACAGCTGTTGATGGATTACTGCTGACCGTTGGTCATGCGCAAAGCTTCAGCGCAAATGGCTTAGCATACAAGTCGGACAAATGGGCAAGCGAGTAAGTGTTCGAATGGAGTCTACTGAGAGTAATGCCTGTGCAAATGTTGGAAAGAAAGTCTTAAAGCAATTAAAGCAGTTGTTAGACGGATGGATGTACAGACAAAAGTGACGGCAACAGGAACTGCAAGCTAATAGCATGTTACTACAACAACAACACCAACAACAACAACCAAACAATCAAGTCTATTAGATTTTTATTTACACAGATTTATTGCTAGCTTTATGAGCGCATGTAAATTGTTATTGTTGTTGTTGATGTTGTTGTATAAATTGTATAAATAAGTGCATAAATGTTTTACGACCATTTTTATTGCCTTGACGTTTACTTACATAAGTATGTACACATGTAGCCGCAATTAAAAACACATACATACACGTATGTAAGTTCATACGTACGTGTGCCTAAGGAGACAGTGTGTGCTTATTAACGTACATACATATGTACGAGTATGTATGTATAAATGCATATGTTATTTTTTTTCTCATCGTTCAGATATAAACAATACTACAACAACAGCTACAATAACATATGTTATATATAATATGAGCAAATTGCACCTTTTAGTGACTTCATTCATGCATTGCATCTTGCGGAACTCTGCTTTCATTCTATGCAACCTTGGCTAACTGTAACCGCAGCCGCAGCTAACTGCCGCAGCAACGAAGCGTATCATAACAAGCCGACCAGCTATGAAAACGAGCGCAGTGAAACGTTTTGATATGCAGTGTCGTGCACAGTGAGTTAGTTTCCGTAAAGAGTGGTAAAAATTAATGGAAGAAAGCTACTTGAACTTCACTCTCTCGCCTAATTAATCATGAGTTGGCCGATTCTTTTGAGTCATCTAAGCGTTATCTCTACTCTGCACTTTCATAGTGTTATTAAGGAGAGCAAAAGTGAAAGCTCAGAAGCAAATTTCCGAAGCTCTAATTCAAAATTGAATATTAATGCTCTCCAGAACTTCGTGATGCCGAATAGAGGCGGAGTATCATTTGCGAGAACTTAATTATTGATTAGGGATTGGATCTATTTTACTTCTGAATTAAACAGTTATTAATTATTTGTGTCTATAATTTTTTCGAACTCGCCCATAGTACATACCTGATCCAAAGATCTAAAACAGCGCCAAAATGAGCACATTTCTGCAACTCTAGCATTAGAGCGGCATTCAGTCTCGTACTGGATTTCAAAGCGTCCAAAAGCGATAGTTCTCACTCAATGGACCAAGTTAAGAGCAAAGTGCAGCCAATTAGAAGGAAATTAAAAATTATATTGTAACTGTATCCGGTGTGTTTTTAAAGTGAAAGGTGATTTGCTAAATAGGTTAAGAAGCATAAATGTTCCAAAAAGTTTCGGCTTAAAGGGAATTAGTGATTTTCTAATTAATCACTTAAAAAACTGATATTACACAACCCGTTATCGCCTCCGCACAGCGTCATTGCCGCCACATTCAACGCACTTTTCGGCGCGCACGCGCTCCAACGCATTTTCAGCATTTTACCTTCGACTCTACTTCGATCGCTGTGTGAAGGGTCGCAGATGTGCTTACCTGAGTGGCGTGTAACGGTGAAAGTTCAATGGCGGCATTTGTTTGTCGTTGCGGGTGAGAGATAGTCATGTTGAAAGCCCTTTCAAGTGCAAAGACAATTGAACACTCATACAAATATTGGGATGTTAAACAAATGTCGAGAAAGTCGTCTTACGCACAATGAAAATTGGTCAAATATATGGAGAAGATATTATTTAATCATAATACAGTTATGCAGTTACAGTTTTTGTACACGCAATAAGTGTAAAGCAGACCCAGTTGTTGATTTCTATGCATACATATACACATGTATATATTGATATTTATATATTATATTTAAAGTATGTAAATTTCTGTACGCCTTGTTATATTAACGCAAATATGTAAATTGAGTTGCTCAACGGGAAGACAATAAAGAGAGTGTTGAAATTAAGCGCGGAAAAATAATAAAAATGGTATACTATTTACAGTTAAATTTGTGCAAATAACTATAAATATCTTAAATATCATTTGCGAAAAAGCAATAGAAATGCAAACAACGATAATTAAGTAACAAAAGTATAATAAATAAAAAAATTTTTTTTTGCATTAAAGCATCCGCAAGGAAATTTGTGGAGCAGTCATCCAGCTCAAAGTCCACAAAGGAAGTTAGTTTGCTACATTGCGGAGATTTGTGAGTTCGAATACAGACCAACTTCCAAAAATGTTTTAAAAATTTTTGATTGCGGTCGGCCCTCGGCCCATAAAACTCCTTTCTCCGTTCGGAGGCGGTACATATAAAGTGTAATTTACAAACCCTAAGCCGGAAATCACTTTAGCTGTTATATGGCGCCAAACTACATTTATTATATATATGTGTATATACATAAAACCTCATGATTTCCGCTTTGTCTAGAAGGGAAGTCAAGCAGCCCATGAAAATAGCTGTAATAAACTATGCTTTAGCCAGTTCAGAAAAAAAAATTTTATTACTCTGCCAATACACATTGAGATACTCTCTTCGATGCAGTTTAGAAAGAGATCCACAATTGAGTGACAAAAAAACTAAAGGAACACACGAGTAGAGACACAAGTATACCATATTGGACAATAGCCATGACAGTATGTTCCCAGACGTCATCCCTTCATGGTTAACACAAAATCGAAATTTCCAACCGTGTAAACAGTCCGTGCACAGAACAGAATGTAAAAAAATCGATCGCTCAGCACGATCTCGTAATGATAGCGGTTATGGTAACAGAGATCGACATAACAGACTGAAGAGCTGAGATTGAGGTTTCTTTGAGAGTTTAATGATATATTTAATGATATCTTAGACTTTCGACTTTTCATATGAACTTGACATTTTGAACGCTATAGGGTTTAACGGTATTCCAGTTCAACTGAAAGGATTTTTTGATATACAAGTCATCCATGTACGTTTCATATACATACAAATGTACATATATACAAATATGTATATATGCAAATATGTACATATGCATATTTTTATTTAACTCTTTTTTTTTAAATTTCTATTTGAAAAATTACAATTCAAATTAATTTATTTTTAACCCACACATGCCAGCGTACGTCAACACTCGCAGTGTTTGTTTTTCTTTTATATTAATTAATCTGATTTGTTTATGTTCATCAGCATTCAAATTTTGCCCGATTCTTCTGCTGCTTAGCTGCTGCGCCGCTACCAATGCTGCGAATGCGCCGACGCCTGTCATTTTCTAGAGCTGTTAATTGAATTTCAAAACAGCGCGATGCTGTTTGCGCGCGGTATAGGCCAACGCCAGCGAACCCGGTTTTTCGTGAATCTGCAATACATAAAAACAAGCTACAATTAAAAAACAAAAACAACAAGCGCACACAATACATATAACCAAAACCATAGAGCTTAGCGGAGGTGGAGAGCGGTGACCGCAGCATTTGGGGAAGTATTTGAATTACTTTTCGTTTGAATAGGAATTTAACTTGCAAATAGCCGAATTCCAAGTCGCTAAAACGTCTTATACAATTTTTTAGGCGACAGCAGCCATAACAAACACAGAAACAACAAGATTAATACAAAGATGAAACAATAAAGAAGATACGAAGACAACTGTTTAATGGGCTAAAGATGCGATAACAACGTTGGGTTGATCCACAACAACAATAATAACGATGACAACGCCAATGATAAAATGATTAGCGACCACACCAACATCACTTTCTCTTTCAACAGGGAACGCACGCCACCGCCTATAGTCGAGCGCCGCAACCGCGACCGCCACGGTTAGCCCAGATATTTTAGCGGTGCTGAGCCCTCTGTTTGGTTCGTGATTGCAAAAGCGCGTGCGTGCAGTTCGTGCAAACGCTACATTTTTCCGTATTTTATTCCTAAAAAAGGTTTTGTTTATTTCAGTACGCGTTCCCTCACAGATCAACTACTCGAAACTGGTAGTGTTAATTGCTGGTGACGGCAATGTCTCTTCTTCTTCCACTGCCAACAACAAAGTAACACCGGCATCCAACTGTGGTTTTTTTTCTCAGCACCAAATCGAGTCAGCCGCGAGCTGCGACGTAGACGACAAAAGACGCTTGAGTAATGGCGCAGCAGTCAGTCAAGCAGCAATCAGCAGCCAGCCAGCGCAAGCCAAACGTTCAGCCAATATGTTAGCCATCTAGCCGGGTTGGTCAATCGACCGCAGTCATTGCAAAGTCAGTCAGTCGAGCAGTTTACAAAGAAGCGGTCCAAAACCGCTGCCGTCATCATCGAATATACACACACATACACTCGCGAGGAATTTTAGCAGCTCTACCCCGCAACATGGAACCGCTCTTGGTGTTTTCACTGTTACTATTAACCGTCTTATCGCTCATCTGCATTTTCTTGCGACGCAAACAACAATACTGGGAAGCTCAAGGCATACCCCTACTGAAACCTTTCCTCTTCTTCTACTACGGACGCGGACGTATTGGCACCGATTGCCATGCAATCGATATACCCAACGAAGTGTATCAGCGTTACCGCGAAACGGGCGTACCACTGGCGGGTATGTTCATGCTCAGCGATCCGCTTATCATACTGCTCGATTTGGAGCTCATTAAGCATGTGCTGATTAAGGATTTCGCAAACTTTAGCTATCGTGGTCTCTATCACAATTTGCGCGACGATCCGTTGATGGGTAATCTCGCCGCAATTGATGGTCCTTACTGGAAACGTTTGCGCGCGAAGCTGACACCATCCTTCACAACTGGTAAAATGAAGTTCATGTATCCGACACTCATCAAAGTGGGCGAGCAATTGGCAGATGTGGTTGATGCCCGTATCAGCCGCGATGGTGTGCTGGATGTAAAGGATCTCGCCGCTTGCTACACCACCGATGTGATTGCGAGTTCTACTCTTGGCATTGAGTGTGATAGTTTACATGATCCACTTGAGGACTTTCGTCTCATCACCGTGAAGTTCTTTGAGGAATATAGTGTAACGCGGGATTTGATCAGTCAGCGACTGCCGCAGCTCGCTAAGTTTCTGCACTGGACTAATACGCCGAAAGTTGTCACGGACTTCTATATCAAAGTTGTTCGTGATAATATTGCCTACCGTGAGGAGCATAGTATTGTACGGCAGGACTTCTTGCAAATCATGATCGATCTCATTAAAACGGAGTCGCTGACAATGGAAGAAATCGCCGCACAGGTGTTCGTTTTCGTAATTGCGGGCTACGAGACCACATCAACGACCATGACAAACTGCCTGTGGGAGCTTGCGGTGAATGAGGATATACAGGAGTTGGTGCGTGAAGAGATTGTTCAGGTGTTGCAGGAGCATGACGATGTGCTCACATATGATTGTCTCAAGAAGATGACCTACCTAGATCAGACGCTTAAAGGTGAGTGTGAAGGAGTAAGTGAGTGAATGAGTGAGTAAGTTGGGGCACAGGAGGGCGATGGAGGAAGTAAGAGAATAAAGACGACCCGAAATAGTCAAGCGCGTAAAGTATACGCGGTTCAAACAAGTCTCAATGGAAAGAAGCTCTTGCTCTTAGTACTTTGAATTATATCCTCATACAAGGTTTGTGTTGGATTACGTCATTTTACGCTATTAAAATATTTATTACGGTTTTCGTCCGTCCCCTTGCAATAACCAGTCTTAAACGAGTAGGTTTTATTGTTCCTAATTCTAAATTTGAGCCCGCTTTGCTAATATAAATATGCATGTATTGTTGTGTGTGTATGTGTGCCAGAACAAAGACTCAATTAGAAGCCCAGTTTTCGCTTTTTCGCTTAGACCTTGGGACCGTAATTTGGCTCTAAGTGCCCAGTCATGCAAACAATTCTGCTTCGTTAATAAAAAATGGTTAGCGATACTTAGCGATACTTACCAAATTACACATTTACTCGTTAAATGAAATACAAACAAACACACTGAAAAATATACTCCATTATTTACCCTTGCAACTAAGGTTCTGTGGAAACTAAGTAACTAAGTCAGTCAATCAAGGTCGTTGGTGCTATTTTTGCATAGGCGCAGGTGTAAAGTTCTAAGCCAGCTGAAAGTGCTAGAGAAAAGTTGCGTATGCTAGCCCAATATCGGCACTTGCGCCTCTTTCTGCGGGCCAATGACCATTTTATATGTTTCTTATTGGAAAGTTTTTTTAGAAAGGCTCTGAAAAGAAAATATCCCGCTCTGAGTATTTTATTTGGAAGTGCAATGTTCCATAAGGGTGCTTTCAATGATCCTTGAACTCAGTTCATGGAAGTATGACGCAGGCTCCGACTTGAGACCGCTTTTAAATGGGCTTACTTTATTAAATTCTATCCATAGCTTTTCTCTCTAGTCTCCACAAGGACTTGAGATTAAATTTTCGTTCTCTTATGACTTAGTATCTTTTTTCAATACATTCTTTGATGCTCCCCAGCAGAGCTTTTTTTATTTTTTCTTTTTCTATCAGAATCTAGTTAGAATAAACGATTGCTACATGAAAGATAGCAATTTTTCCCTTAAACTGTCAATGTCTTTAGAAAGAAAAGTCATTATCCTTGCCCTTTGCTTCACAGACAGTAAAAGTATCAGTACCAGCGAATTGTAACTTCATGGGTACATTGGGTATTGGGTATAGAACCTGGCTTGAGCCTTTTAAAATAGAATGTTAAGTTCGTGAAACGTTGGTCGGGTGTCAGTTCTTTGTGTTAACATTTCGACAGCACTCGGACGGCGCACTCTCTATTGCACAAAAAGACTGTAAAAGATTTCATTGGTAATAACAATCGCCTTAATTTTTAGCTAGAAAACCATTCCGTACCATGCTTACTCCTCTCAACTCTAGAAGATTTATTTACATAATATCTCTCTTCTCACATAAACTCTCCCTTTCTTTCTTCGCACAGAAACACTTCGGAAACATCCCATCGCTCCCGCACTGAAGCGTGTTGCCTTCGAAGACTATAAAGTACCTGGCACCAACTTCATCATCAAAGCCAATACCACCGTGCTCATACCAACCGAGGCGATACAGCATGATCCCCGCTATTTCCCCGAACCAGACAAATTTGAACCAATGCGCTTCACAACCGAAGCGATGGAACAGCGACATCCCATGACATTTTTGCCATTCGGCGATGGACCACGCAACTGTATCGGTTTACGTTTCGGACGCATGCAAGTGCTCATCGGCTTAGTGATGTTACTGCGCAAGTATCGCTTTAGTGTCGCCAAAACCACGCCAATACCGATTGTTTACGACAAGACCATTTTATTGCGCGCTCCCAAGGGTAAAGTAGAGTTGAAATGTGAGCGTCTCGTGGCGGACAACCATGTGGTTAATGTGGGCAAGCGCGGCGTAGAAATTGCGGAAAATTTCGTCATGACTATAGGGGAGCGACGTGAGTTCGCTTATGGTGAACGAAATAAATAGTGCGGGAAGAAAGGGTTATATAAAAAGCTTATGAGCTCAAAACTTAGTTTGAAAGCTTGAATAGAAGAAGTGAGCTTGAGAAAGCTTAAGAGCACATAAGATTTGGGCCCAAATTTTAACGAGGTTGTGAAACTGTGAGTTGAAAACTATTAGAGGCACATATTTTTGTTTTCAAAAATTGTTAAAAATATTTTTTTTAATTTTTTATATCAGTTTTTGAACAAAACTTTAATTTAAGGCAGCGGTGAAAACTAAAAGATTTATGAAAGTGTAAAGCATACCTTTTTTTGTAAAAGAATATTTTGCATATACCTTCATTTACTTTAACTCTTTTAACCATATTTTTAATAACAAATAAGCGATTATTTATATTGTAAATATTTTTCAAATAAATTTTTTTATTTTTTATTTTAAAAACATCATTTACATGTGTATGTACAAATGTAGAAGTTTATTTGCCACATTCAAGTAAAATTTAATAACTGCAAGTAAGTACTTGAATAAGTTTTTGTGTTTATATGTATTTATATGCACATAAGTATATATTCTAATATGCCCATTTTTATAATTTTTTGTAACTACAGAGCGAATTATTTAGTTTATAATTTTTATTTTATTATTCTTAATAATAAATAATAATAAAAGAATTAATTTTTAATTTTTGTAATTAGTTTTCTCTCTTTGTGTTTTTTTTTTTTGCTTTTATAATTTATCTGTATTTTACCTATCTTCTTTATTTCAATCTTTTGTATTAAGTTACATATATAATTCCCCTAATAATTAATTTAACTTTGAAAAATTTACTCAAGTGCTGTTAAAACTAACGAACTCTGCTAAGTGTGCCACTATTTAGTGTTATTTTTTTTTAAATATATTCTAACATAAATTTTTTGTTCATTGTCATTTAATTGATATGGCTTTAGTTCTCTACTCCTGCATTGAAGATTTGATGAAAAAGATTGATTAATTTAATTTTTATTTATTTTTTTACTAATGCTACTTCGCAAAGCAAACAAAAACTAATAAAAATAGAATCTATATTATTTTTCAATGTGGTTGTTATAGAAATTGACAGAAAGAATTCTTTAAACTGTTAATTATTGAGTTTTATATAAAAATAATTGACTTCGTATTGGTTCATTTTTTGATAATCAGATTGCTTGAGGTTTTAGTTAGCTTTAGTAAAAATTAAATATATATTTTTTTTTCTAAATTCTTTATCAAAACTCGTGTGGAATGTCAGAGTGTGCATTGCGAAAGCGAAATATTTATAAAAGTATTAAAAATCGATATGGCTGATGTGTTGTCCTTACCAAATCTTTCATAAAACCTTAACATTTGTTTAGAAAAATAAATACTAAAGTTAAACAATATTACTAAGTAATTTCATTTCACGCCAACAGGCAAAATATGTAATTTATATAATTATATATATATATATATAAGTGTATATAGATTTTTAATATTTTATTTATTTTTTTAAATCCACAGTGCCATTCTAATAATAGCAAAAACTTTTAATTTTATTAAGAAAAACTGTCTACTTTGTTCGTTAAATTTTTTGGCTGGCATCGTTTTCATTTTCTTTTTTTCAAATAATTTCATTTGAAACTAATTCTAATTGAATAAGCAATATCTCTCTGTTAATCAAAATTTCTCATGCTTCTCGTTTCCTTAAAAAAAATTTTTAAGTGGACTAATTTTTACTTAAGTTACAAAAAATTTCGAGCCCTTTTCGAACGGCACTCTGAAAGCACTTCACTTCGGAGGCTTTGTGCCACGCGGCAGTTCCATCGAGACTCGCGTAGCATCACCACGGTTCGGTTGCTTGCTGCGCAGCATTTGCTCATGCACGTACAGCAAGAGACCCAGATCGCGATGCCCAGCCTGCCAGGCTATCTTGAAAGCCGTAGCGCCATCCTGGAGTAAAAATACATTAGTATTATTACATATACATATGTATGTACGTAATTCTTTTTTTAATATTATTAAATAAGCTCACCACATCCACTATAAGCGAATCGCAGTCAGGCTGTGACAACAAATGCTTCACAATATCCGTTCGTCCGTGCTCCGCTGCGCACATTAACGCCGTGCTGCCGTCCTCGTCCTGTATATTGATGTCGGCGCCAGCGGCCAACAGCAGCTCGACCATTTCGTTGTTACCATGGGACACAGCCAGCATCAATGCGGTCTGGCAATGCTGTTTGTGGGGGATTGGAATGTTTTTTTTAAGGGTTTACAATTTGAAAATTCACATTTTTGACCAAAACAAAGTAAGCAACAGAGGAGAGAGAGAGAGAGGAGATTGAGAGTGAGAGGTATGAAGTTTTCAAAATAAAATTTAAAGAAAAAAGTTGAGTTTTTCTTACAATCCCACACGACATTACAGCAGTTTGGTCATTACCTACCTTTTTGGCTCGTATATTGACATCGGCCATCTGGAACAGTCGTTGTACGACTGTGCGATGCGCAGCGTTTTTCAGCTTTGCCAATGAGACGAGCATCACACATGTGTATCCAGCGTTATTCATTTGGTTTACATTGCAAACCTTTGAATCGAGTAAAATGGATACGACGTCAAAATTGCCGTGCGAGACCGCGTAATGCATTGCTGTGTTACCCTGCAGGGATGGAAGAGATCAAATGTTAATTAAAGTACGTCAAAACATATATGCACACCCACATTAGCATCCACCATATTGACACAGTACTCCAAGAGCGCCACTGACATTTCTTCAAAACAGTCCAAATAGTCCTCCACCTCATGCGGATTTGCTTTCTCGGTGCTGGAAACGCGAAACCATTCCTGTTGAATCACCAATTTAGAGGACTTCAAGCTAGCCGCCGATAAAGACTTAGCGTCGATCTTCTTCAACAATGAATTATTTATTGTTTTCAAAGCGTTTAGCATATCAGCAGGCGGAACGAATCTGAAAATGGCGTCGATTATGAGCTCAAATGCTGAAACTACCGAAACCGTAGTCGAAACTTACTTTTGTCGTGGTTCCGCCTCAACCATTGCCAGTTTCTGCAACAAAGCCTTCGATGGTGGTCGCTCTTCCAATTCGTTTTTCTCTTGCTTTGACTCAACCTTAGCGGTAACGGCAGTGGTTTCCATACGTCCCGCTTCTTTTCTTGAGATATGACTAGATTTGAGTGTTGTCGTCTTGCGGCGCGCGCCCTTTGACATATCGGCCACAGCTACAGCATCCTCATTTTCTTTCTCCTCACTTTCCTCGTCTAAAACTTCGGCCTCCTTTAACTTTTCATTGTAGGAGCTCTCCAGCGAGCGGTGAGGGGAATTGCCGGCGCCATCTTTATGCGGAGCTGGTGAGGCATCACGCGACCAACTGACACTAACACGTTTCTCCTCACGCACAATTAGACCATCAAGACTCGGCTGGAGTGGCATCGTCTCATCGTCTTTGCCTGTTTCAAGAGTTTCACTGCGTTTCTGACTGGCATCGGAGGCGCGACGTGAACTAGCCGCTGATGAGAGCACAGGTATGCCGGTATTAGCTTTGGGCGCTGTTGCCTTAGCGCTGCTTGATTTAAGTGCAGTGATGGGCTCGGTGATGAAACTCTGTGTTTCACTTACGGAGTCAGGTGGCAGGAAGTGGGCAATTGCGGGCGGCTTCTCGTGCAGCGAACTGAAAAATGAAGTGTATTTTAGTTGAAATTTTTAACACCGCCGAGAAGTCACGTACGTCAACAGCAGCGCTGAGCAGCCACTTACTATCAGCGGATAGCAAGTGAAGCTGCTAAGACTAGAAAACATTTAGGCAATGCTGAAAAATTTATTTTACAAATTTTCGACGACCGTTCACTAACAAAACAAATGCAAGTTGTACAATCACAAGCGGCAAAAATTTGTGTCTCAACCCGCTGTAAGCTTCTGAGCGAAAATTAGTGCAATAAAATATTTATTTGTTTACACCAAATAGCAACAACCAAGGGGCTTTATTGCAAAAAGAAAAGTAAGCCAAAAAAGCAAAGTGCGCGTCGATGCGTCCGCGTATGCCTGTTCGTAAGTGCTGCAGTTGAAGCCTTGCCGCCGCGGACTGCGTCTTCGTTATTTGAAGTGAGCTTAAAGTAGCTGGGAAAGTAATTTTGTGGAGAGAAAATACGCTGAAGGTCATTGCAGCGTGTGCGACTGAAAGTGAGAGTACAGTGGGGCAGTACAATGAAATTTCGATGCAAAAAAGTTGGTGAATAAAATTAAGAGAAAAAAAGCTTAGAAAAATGTTTACAGAGCTATTCATAAAAAGAATTTTTGAAAAAAGTCTGAGCAACTAAATATAATAATAATTTGTCTTTAATTCGGGGAGTCGGAAATTCGAAATGCCAAGACCAAAATATATTTACAGCAGTGCGATTCACTCAACTTTCGCAGATTATAGCCACACTGCATTATTTCAAAGATTATTTTTTACTTAAAACTTATTTTGAAATTATCAAAAATAATTTCAAATTATTCTAATAATTTGATACCTACGACCCATTGTTCAATTTTGGGTTTTATGCCTACAGGGCATTCTCTATACTGCGCCTGCGCTAGACCGATGTCAAAATAAATATTTGGTCACTCAAAAGCTAAAACCGCACGTATACAAATAGTGACGTTGTTGTGGAAGTGGAGTGGATCAAAAGGTTAGTGGAGCAGGTCAGGGTAATGAAGTGGCGCCATTTATTTATACAACAAATCGTATATTCACCACAGATATTCACCACAAGTTAACGCAAACATAGTATGTGTCCAAACTAATAGATATGGATTAGGTACTTACTTAGCAAAGTCACTTACCCAGAAAAAAAACCATAACTTACCACCTCACATACTCTACACCCTCTTCAAAAGATTTACTCACCTCGCTGTGGCACTCCTCGTGATAGTTTGCTTCTCCGGCGTCGTTGTTATTGTATACGTATTCTGGCGTTGGAAGGTGCGACGCACCGGGCTGGGACTGGGCGGAACATTCTTTCGCAGCGGTATGCGCGAGTCCATCGAAGCACTACGCACTGGCGCTGGAGGACGCAGGCGTGGTGAGGGTGGCGATTGTGGCGAGAGCACTTTTGAAAAGTCCTTTGCCAAATTTTTAATCGCGTCTTTGCAGGAATCACAGTAATTGTCAGCGCAGGCTATGGAAATGTGCGGTTTTACCACATCGCCACAGCCAATATCACGCTTACGCACAGTGTCTGTGTTGGCTGCTGTATGGCGTATAGGTGCCGGCGGCAATGTGTTGATGCCATAATCTACCATACGCGGCGCGTCGGTATTGCTGGCTGTTGTACGCATACTTGGTTTCGGTGGTGGTGTGGGTTTCTGCACAACCACTTTTGGTGGTTCTACTACAACAGGTGGCGGCGGTACATATTCCTCGGTGCTGGTTTGTGTGGCACAAAGTCGTATTAGATCGCGCGTATCTGTTTGACGTGTTTCGTAGGCTACATCGCTTTGAACGCCGACATTTCGTTGTTCGGGCTCACATTGTACACCAACAGCGTGCACATAAGTAGTCGCCGTTTGGCAGCCGGCGCTATGCACTGGCACTGGCGTATATTGTGTGCCTGTGGTTTTGCGTATACGCCCGAGTCGATCATGTTCACCAAGTGAGAATGTTTTGCTGCGCAGAAACTCAGGTGAGTCGAGCAGTTTCAGTGAAACCGATTTGACTTTTATGAAACCGGGATCTTCCGTGCTGCTAGCGACGGTGCGTTTCACGACTCGACACTTATCACATAGCGGATCTAAAATATTGTCTTCTGAGGTGGCAACAGAACGCGTTTCAGGACGGCAATTTACGTACGCTTCAAGTGTTGTTGGGTTGGCCATAGTGCTGACTGAGCTCTTAAGTACTTTTGGTTCTGCTGTGGTTTGCGCGCCGCTATCAATGCAACGTGGTGCCTGCACTTGTATGCCAACGTGCGACATTTTTTTAAACTGCTGCAAAGCGCGCTCCTCTTCGTAACGCGTTATCGCCATCTGCGTATGCTCTTCCAATTCCCACTGTGAGTAGAGGGCCTCGGTAATGCTACGCAGCTGCTGTATGGGACTTGTGCCAACACTACGCACGATTTGCACGGGACTGCCAACAGCAATATCTCGCGTCGCATGCAGTCCACACATAGTGCCTACATCACGCTTTAGTATTGTCGGTGTGCGCAGCTGACGCTCGGAGCTATTTGAGTTGGCGCGCAATCTTGAACCTAAACTTTCCAATGAGACAGGGCTAATGCGTTGTGGCGTGAACTGTGCTGTAGAGCCATTTTTTAAGCTTGCCGCTGGACTAGGTGAGGCCGAAGGACGCGGCGGCTCACGCGCGCGCTGCAATTCGTCTTCTTTTCGCTGCAGGGTTTGCTGTAACCGCTGCTTCTCGTCACGCAATTGTGTTAGCTCGTGCTGTGGGTTATACGTTTTATAAAAATCGTATCCTTTAAGCCAGTGCTCAACTCACCTGTAACTCCGGTATGGTCTTAACCTGTTCTTCCAAATCTTTCATGCGCCTCAAGCTCAGTGCCATCTGTTGACGTATACTGTACAGCGTTTGCGCGTCCGTTGATGTACTGCTTTCCACGCCGTTGCTTGATGCTGGTAAAATGCTCTGCTTTTCGGAGTTCACGGGTATGACGCTATCATCTGTAGTTAATGGTTTCTTATCAACTTCATCTGCATCTGTGAGCTCCGCTTCACCATTGTTGGGACTCAGCAGCTTGTGTGGTTGTGGTACATGACGACGCGGTGGCGGCGGTGGTGGTACCAACTGCTCAACCGGCGATTTTGCATTCGCCGCCACTGTGGCCTGCACATATGACTCATACTGCTGCTCGGCAGGCGAAAGTTTCTGGTGTACGGGTAGCGCGGCAGCGGCCTTCGCTAGGTAGCGCGTTGTACGCGGCGACTTGTTGCTAGCAACGCAAGAATCTAAAATTCCGGAGAAAAAGGAAATGGAAAGAAAAAAATCTTATTACTTTGAATGGAGATGCTAAGAGAATGGATATATATTTATGTTCTTCGCATTTTCTTTCTGCATTGACACCTCACATTTTCGTTTATCATTCGGTTTGACTAATAAAATTTTGATACGCAAACGTTCCATTAGCGCGCACAACAAGCAACTGCTGAGCGCTTCACCATTTAGAGCATTAGAAAGCCCAGTTAAGTGAGATATCTGTCTCGACGTGCTAAGCGTGTTATAATTTTTTGGCAAATTGCAGCTGAAACTACGACGCTTTGCCCTCGCTGAACTGTTATTACCTACGCTATTGGCTTTGTTTATTTTTTATTTTTATTTTTTTGCTTGAGTTTGCGTTTAGCTAAATCTCGTACGTAATTATGCAATAATTTATAAATAAAACAAAGTCAGCAGCGAGTCGTCAGCGGCAACGTCGCGCTAGCTCTAACGAAAAACCTCAAAACCTGAAGTCAGTTTGGCCTGTTCAAGTTGAAATTTTTATTTTATTTCCTTTCAGTGTCATCGGTTTTTCGATTTATTTATTTGCTATTATGGCGAATGTCGAATTGACGTTTCGGTCTGGAGGGAGTGGTGGGGAGCGGTATTAGAAGATAGTGGTGTTAGGCAGTGTCATTGCTTATAGCTGTTTGCAGCGGATATAAGATAAGCATAAGAACGATTGCTGGTAAATACAAATTATTATATTGAGCAAATAATATATTCGAATTTAGAGTATAGTCTCATACCATAGTAGCCGAGTTGTTAGCAGTGCATACTACCATGCGGATAATCGTGGTTTCCAATTCAAAAATTCTAGTTCCCTCGACATTGAATTTAAACACTTCTGAGTGTATTTCTGACATGAATTAAAAACTTCTCATTTAAAGACCTGGGCCCGTTTGGAGACTATGCTGGAGAATACCGTATGCAGAATATGCTGTAAGTTTCTTTGATTTGTTGGAAAAACTACAAAATTAATTAAATTAAACTACAAATTAGGTTAAAAATCCCGCTGAAAATCATTTCGGCATCATCAGCCCTTACAAATGAAAGAAGATTTGTGAAACTTCAATTTTTTTTTTTTTTTTTGTGATACTTTCGATAGAATTTTCACTTCACTAACAGCGCTTTCATATCTTACAGAAAGCTTTTTTTTTTTGTAAAAATTGTCGACTAAACTTAACTGCTAACTTTCAAATGTAATATGTAAATACACAAAGTCTATATAAAACACAACACATTGTAATTCAATTACTATATCGAAATATCAAAATTACATTAGGGATGTTGATAAATTTTTAATTTTTGTGAAAGCTAAATTAAACAATAAAATGATTTTTGAAATACCAATTATTTATTAAAATTTTATTAAATCTTATTATTATTATTCAGCTTCACGAAATTCCGAGATTTCAGAGCATTCCTAATGTAATGTTGAATTCATATGTATATTATAATATATATAATGTGCGTATATTTACAAAAATAAATATATATTTTTAATGCACCTACAATTATTCCACCAACTTTTCATACTCTTCATCTTTGGTTTCGATTTGGAAATTGTGTTCTCGTTTCGGTTGGGAGTTACTTTGCGTTCCTTACGTCGATTTGCATTGCTGGTTGGTGTGAACATTATTTTCGAGAATTTTTTACTGCATTTTCAGTTAAGTTTTTGATGTTTTCATGCGCTCTACTTTTTCATTTAATATTAAATGCGTTGCTTTCGCAAATAATCGAATTTAATCAAACAATGTAATTGAGACGGTTCATAGTTCATAAACAGTGGATTGCTGATAATTCACTTGCCCGAAGCAGATGCAATTATTATGATTGTTGGCATTTAAATAAAATAATTACACTGTTAAATATTGGATTCCTTGCATTCAATGTCGTTGTAATAGAGGGTAAATTATAAGAGTGGGGCGTAAAAAATTTAACAGTGGCAATGAATGACCATGGCAAGGGAATGCTTCGAACTCATTAAAAAAAGATCTGATTTTAAAAAATACAAAAATTTAGTATTAAATAAAGTTTTTTTTTAATTATTTTGATCAAAAATGTTGTTATTATGGAAATTAAATTTCAAAAGACGTTCAAACATAATAATTTTTATTAACATTAATTATTATGAATATTAAAACAGATTTTACACTTTAAATGTTTTTATTTCAATAATTTTAATTTAATATTAACAATTTGTATTAATTGTATTTTATGATTACTAATTATTAAAACCGAATTTAAATTTCAAATATTTTTATTTTATATTATTTTTATTTTGATATTACTTATTTAGATACTATATTTAATTATGCTTCTTATTATTTGGTATTAATTTTTCCATTATATTTGCCTTCCTACCAAAACGTTACTTTGTTTCACTTGCCACCCACATTTACGCTACGCCACTAAATGCTTCATGCAACACGCTCTTCTCGCTTTCTATTGTTCGTTATGAATGCTTGCCACTTCTTCTATGGCCTTTATTTGAAATTTTAATTACTACAGTTTGCCGGCTTTTACTATACGAGCTTTCACACACTCATACACACTTACAAATGTTCGAAAGCAAACGTAGATAAATTTAACTACCAAACCCACTTAATTTGACTTAAGCTTTTTTTACCGACTTTTTTCACTTTTTCTTCTATTTTTGCCGCTCCATTGCAATTCTATCGTAACAAATAGCTTTTATTGTTGGCTTAATTGCTCTGGTGATGAAGAAAAAGATAAATTGTTTGCATAAAAATACAAGCAAAAAAAAATAGAAATTGTAATCACTTGCGGCGCTTTCGCAATTATTTCAATTACTCTCTTTAATTGTTATTAGCCTTGATTGGTGAATTTAATTGCCATTGACAAAAACAAATAATTTTTTTTTTTGGAAAAAGTTATTAAATTTTATTTTTATTTTTTCATTTCATGCATTTTCGCAAATCTTCCCAACCAACCACTTTCGCGTTTCTCACAGCTTGAGCGCACAGAAGAGACTGATAAGCCATTAATGCGCCGTGATTTCGTACTTTCTTCGCTACTGTTTGCTAAGTATTTTTTTATATTTTCTTTGAGGCCTCAACTTCAGCCGTTGGCAAGATGCTGGAATTATGAGTGAATTGTAATACTTTTTCGGTACACTGATCATTGAGTTTGATGGAGATATTTGAGTAAAGAAATTATAAACATTTTTTTTTCCAAAAATTATTACAATACCCTTAATACACTGCAAACATATGGAACTTTACTATACAAAAATGATCCTGAATACGTGCATATCTAAACAATACTTCTAATAAATCGATGAAGCATCTGGTATTGATTTTCGTTAGATAATCCAAAATATTGGAAAAAATAAATTGCCAACAATACCAACATACAAATTTACATATTCACACATACTTACAAACACGTGTATGCCCATATACACTTCTCAGCTAGTCTAAGGAGGTACTGCTTAAGCTCAGCACAGCAGATCGAAGTTTAACTCTCATAATTTCTTAACAAACTGTTAAGTGTATTGGTTTAGCACTCTCTCAACAAACAAAATCTAATAAATAATATAAAATGCTTGGTTACACTTTATTTGCATGTCGCGCAGTAAAATTTATCAACTCAGTTATTTTGTTATTTTTATTTTTACTTTTTTTTATACCTATAAAAGAGCTTTCTTATAGGTAAAGCAGAATCTTTTTCGGTAAGTTGTAATTTATGAATAAAAAATTCTTTCGCACAAAATTGAAAAAAAAATGCTTGATATAACGTTAATATTATAATATTTCGTTATTAAATATTTTATCAGGGTTGCCACTGCAAATTTTCAATTTTCATCATATTTTGATATGCCGCTTATATTCTAAAAAAAGTCTATTTCGCGAATTTTTATCATCTTAAAAATATATGAGCCTTTCAGAGGTAGCTGGAAGAAATTTTTAGGTTCCTCCATTTGTTGAAAAAAACATCAAGACCCCAACCAAGAATTGGAGAGATGCTGGGCCCAACTTCGCTTCAAAGGCTTTTTCCACTTTTACAGCGAATTCAGCACATTTAACAGACAAACGGCAGACTGTATAAGCATCTCCAAAGATCATCAAAGAAAAGCTTTTGCTTAGCTAATTGGACACGCCCAGAGCCCTAATAGAAATTTAGCCATCTTGGCCTAATCACCATCTCTTTGCGGTAATATAATTTATGATTTTGACGTACCCACGGAGAATCATGAACAAGCAGAAAAGTCAACAACTCTATCACGCTCTAAATTACTTCACTAAGATCTACATGGGTTTGATTACATATTTACGCAAAGAGCCACGCACAGTCACATCTTGCCGTTCGCCGAGCACTAGTGTCGATGAATCAGACACTAAATAGAAGAAAAGCCGAATCGTCGGAGATGCCCATTAAGATACGTCACAGACGCACACTCACTTCAATGGTTTCGCTTGCTGTGACGCGGCGTGACGCATATTTGCCGCCAAGGTAGCTGGCGTTGTGGTATTGTAAATGAAGTAGATACTCGCATTTTGTTTTGTTCAAATTTGATTTGTGATTTGCGCTATGCAAAAATATCATTTGTTGCCAAATCATCAAGGCGCATACCACAAATCGGGGGAGAAGCTCGGCCGAAAATCGCTTTAGCGGTTACAAAGCGCCAATTATGTAAAATCTAATTTTATGTATATGTTTTGGTTTATTGTCATCGTGTAGTGATATAAGTGAGATAAGTGATATAAGAGAGAGACTGAGAGAGAGAGAGAGATAGAGAGAGAGAGAGAGAGAGAGAGATAGAGAGAAAGATAAAGTGTGGTTTCACCAGCATAGCACAACACAACAACTGAATTGATACAAAAAATTTAGATAGGTCCTCTAATACTCATCGGTCTCTGACCTAAAATAAGAGCGAGTTGGTGAGAAAGGTGACTATGCTATAATATATTTGGCATTGGTTCAAAGATTAATTTGGGCTTCTTTCCCTGTTGCCCTCTAAATATCTGCAATTCTTAACTGCCTTAAGAGATAGTTATTTGAAATAATATTTTCCCAAAAATCAAATAAAAGGCTTCTCATCAAATTGCAGGGTTTGGAATATAGAAAAATCAATGGCATGCAGAAACCTTCTTAAAAAGTTATTCACTCCATCATATTCAAATATGAACTCACCCAGTAACATGACTAAGTCATAAATGTCTTTAAAAGTAAATTGAAAAAAATCGTATAAATTAACACAATCTAATTTAAATACAATACACGCCCGAGGTTTCTATTGTGTTCAACCTCAAGTGACCTACATTTTCAGCAGACATTTTGCATTTACAAAAAGTAAAGTAAAATAATTTGCATAGGACAAACTTGTCTCTGCACATTCATGTGGTCTTTTTCTTCACGAAAGTAATCAAATAGAATAAATTCTGCAAAATCGACTGTGCACTTATGCCTGAGGACAAATAATTCAATGTGTCAGCACAGACCGTTTGCTAGCGACAAGCCTAAGAGAGATCTCAAACGATCGAGGTGTGTCTGTCACCACTGATTTGTCAGGGCTAGTTTGGTGTAAATGGCATTTAAGCGCTTTTAAATATGTGCTAAAAGCAAAATAAATGCAAAAAATGTTGAGCACGTGACGGCTATGTAAAACACAATGTGCTAGAGAATGAATTAAATGGCTTGTTGTGCAAAACTAGATTACGTTGAAAATAGATTTCTTACTCACCCATCGATTTCTCAGCAGTTTCCCGCTCCCAGCCATAACACAGCCGCTTGCCATTGCAGCTGTAGCCGTTACGCGTGAAATTATCACGCAACCACGCTGCATTACCCAACTTCGGCGGCTGCAAATCCGTCTTCATTGCATACATCGGCTGATGATTGTTATTACGATCACTTGCCATGCCATAGCCGGTGGCGGATAATTGACCATTGAACAAGCCACCAGCACCGCCGCCATTGAAACCACCATCACGCTCATTACAACTGACCGCTTTCTTGCGCCGCAACGATGTGCGCTCCAGCGTACGTTCAAAATCGCTGCACACCTCATCAAGTGCTTCGCGCAGAAAAGCGCGTGTCTCAGGCGCGTCGCGGCGTGATTGATGTTCTCTGTTTTGGCGCTGGCGTAATATACTGTAGGGCGCATCACTCTCCGCGCCGCGCACTGAAGAACATGTTGATGACGCGGTGCCAAAGGGTGATTCAGCACGAGGCGCACCACTACTGCTGCTTTCGTATGTGTAACGCGGCACCGATGAGGAACGTGGACGCGGCGTAGAAGTGCAGAAAGCGATGTGTGAGGCAGCGGGTGCTGAAGGTATGGGTGGCGGCAGCAGGCGTGGCGAATCGGGTGAGTCACTCTCGTGGGGCACCTGTAAGTGAATTTCATGGATTAAAAACAAAATAATAATGTAAATACTTTTTAGCAAATAACTTTGTCACTAGAAATTCTTACGATTAGCTGCGCACTGACGCTGGCGCAAATGTGCGCGTTACGGCATATTTGCAATTAAGTTTAACTTTTTCTGTAAATTTAATTTTACTTTCGATTTCAGTTGCTGTTTACTTTTGCGTTCTTTTAGTACGGTTGAATATAACTCGCGTGACAATGCTTTGATCTCTCCCACGTGTTAAACACTCGAGAACTTCGATGTCATTATTGCTCCCCATTCTACAGCCGTGACATTTCAAATTTGCTTTGATTGCAGCCCTTCGGTGCAATTTGCAAACAGCAACCCTTTTATTTAGCGAAGTCGTTTTTATTCGCTTCGTTTCTTTTCTTTTTTTATGAATGTTTTCGAAGATCAAAGCTGGTGCTTATGACTCATAAGAAGTTGTTATTGGCTCTTGCGTGAGATCTGAGCTGACATCTTCCTTACAAAATCAAGTAAAGTACGATTTTAAGTGGCACCGATGTTTTTTCTTAATGAAATAATGTTTTTCGCAATATGCTGGAAAACTTAATTAAAAACAGGAAGACATTAGTCTCCAAATACCCTAATGAAGTAGAAAAAGGTCATGCAATTGAGATTTGCAAGGACGCGGATGCATAAGAAATTGAAACAAGGATGAGGACGGTTGAGAACTGAAGGGAATACTGGTGAATGACGGTATAAAAAAGGAAAAAAGAGATAGAAGAAGGGAAAAAGCCTTAGTAGAGCACCTCGTAATTATCGTCATAAATAATCTGCTTGATAAAAGGAATATGTAAATAGTTTTCACGATATTTGACAGAGAACGGACGCAAATTGAAACTAAATAATTATCTATTTGTAACGGTATATATTCTGCTGAACTATCCCAAGGTTTTGAATGAAGTCAGCAACCTGTTTGTATCATTTCCAGTGGGCTGTTAAACAATAATCAGTTGTACAGAGACATCTTCACAATAAAGAATAAAACCACGCAGAGGAAATTGCAAGCAAGTACCGCTCGTCGGCTAAAAACATGAGAGTCTGAGAACCCGAACTACTTACTTTCTGCACTTCTCAGGTAGCCGTTGAGGTACTTTAGGCTTAGATATTGAAAACTAGTAAAGATGAAGTGAAAATAAATGCATTCAAAGTTTACTAGAAAATATTAATTTTTTTATGTAAAAGTCATTTCTCCTTAGCCTGGTTACCATTCCGATGGTAGTAAGGCAAATCCATTTATTAAAGAATCATTGAATTGCTCTCTAACCCGACATTGAAATAAATTTCAAAGTCACCCTTTAACCCAACACAAGCTATTAATCATAGCAAACAGCGTCACTACCCCATTGACATACATACAAACACAGCTGTATAGAAATTGATTTGCCTGGCGTTCGATAGTGCATTATAATTGAACAGTGCAGCAAATCGTAAACCAAACCGAATGACGGGCCCCATTTCGACTATGCAATTTGACTTAGGAAACGCCGCTTCATCGACTCCACCGCCACATTCAATTCACATTCACAACTAACGTTTGTAGCGCGCAAAAACAATAACGCGGCACTCACCTCTGGCACTGCCTGCACACGCGCTGCAGCATCCCATTGCTCGAACATCGCATCCAGACCCAGCATGAATTCCATTGATTTACGCGAACGCCGCCGACTTCGCCGCCGCAGCTCCTCTTCCGATGGCTTGGCATTAGCTAGCGACTCGCAGTAGCGCACGAAATCCAAATCGATGTGGTAACCGTACGGACAGCAATTGCAGTTGCGCACATTAGCCGCCGCTGCGGCAGATGCTACAGCCGGATTGCCGGCATATAATTGAGGAAGACGACCTACAGCAAAGAGAGATAAGGAGAAAAATAAGAAAAGAAAAACGTTTAGAGAATAAATACACAAATAAATATGTATAAACATAAATACATATGGATAGAATAGTAAATTCTTTATGGCTTCTAGAGGTAGAGATGAGCTTTTAATAAAACACAGAAAGCGCACGCGCGTCTGTATGACCCCGCGTCAAGCACTGAAGCCTTTCAAATATACATACATACATATTTGTATTTTTTCATTTTCCATAATTTCCAAAGCAATAAAATGATATTCGATGGCAGATTATTATGAGAAGCGGGCTCTTCTTACAAAACTCTTGCCAGTAAAACTCCCCCAAAGCAACTTAACAAAGAGAGAGAGTCAAATTTATGAGGATATCGGCGTTGGTATGTATCGGTTTGTGTATATGTGGAAGAGAGCCTTGTATTGGATGAGTGCATAAGTTCGTGCCCGATTTCAAGTGCAAACTAAAATTGAAATTTTTTGAAGAAAGCGCTTTTATTAATCAATTATGTATTCGCCATCATGTTCGGCAATCCACTCCCAACGTTCAACCAATTTACGGATGCCTGATTCATAGAAATCGCGCGGTTTCTCGTTGAAAAAGGTGTCAAGGTGGTTTTTGACGTCTTCCACATTTTTAAATTTTTTTCCATTCAAATTGTTCTGCAGCGATCGAAACAAATGATAATCAGAAGGTGCAATGTCGGGTGAATATGGGGGATGCGGCATGATTTCCCAATTCATCTCCTTCAGTTTGGCCAGGGTCGGTTTTGCAACATGTGGCCTGGCGTTGTCATGATGGAAAAGAACTCCTTTGCGATTGGCCAAAATCGGACGTTTTTCATCAATTGCTTTCTTCAATTCGACCAATTGCTGACAATACTTGTTGGCAGTGATCGTTTTTCCAGCTGGCAAGAGCTCAAAATAGATCACGCCTCGGATATCCCACCAAATGCACAGCAGTACCTTCATCAGATGCAATCCACCTTTCGACATCGGTTCCGCCCCTTCGTGTGCCTGTTTCCATGCGTCTTTTCACTAAGCAACTCAAATCAAAAGGAGGTAATTTTATGCTTCATTAACAGTTCGGACTATCACCTTTCCAATGATATATAATATGTATATATTTCTTTCACGAGCGCCACTCTCAAACGATTCGAATGGCATCCAGCGGAATCGGGCACGAACTTATGCACTCATACAATATCATAAATAGCTACCTGACATAACAACTTTTAGGTTATTATTTGACTGAACAGCCACGCAGGAAGCATCAGTAACTGCCGAAGTCAACGAAGAAATAATCATGTTCTGTAAATAATTTAAAGCGAAGGGCATTTATTGAGCATACAGTCTTCAGCGGAATAGAATGCTGCAAGTTGTCTAATAGTGGGTATGCAAGGTTGGAAGCAACCATTAACTGATCAAACAATCATTGAATAAAAAGATTGGCAACCCTACTAAAAACTATTTTCAATTTCTTAGCCTCCCCAAAATTGCTATAAAATTAGGTTGGTTTGGGCTGGCTGGCTATTACGAAACTCATAATCCCATTATCCATTACTGATTAAAAATCGTTTCGTGTACGTGTTTCTTCTTCTTCTTGAAGGAGACTGGTAAGTTCTAAGTTGCATCTTCTTCTGAAGAGACAACCTTTTTAGCCCATTTATCATCTGATTGCATTAAAATTTGTCTTCAACGGCAGTTTGCCTGTCTAACTAAATATGCATTCTCCTTCCATGCAGTACCCCTACGCCGAACAATCGAAAAGAATTTCAAATTGATGCAAAATCTAACAAAAGAATGAAATGTTGCAAAACCTAACAAATCCCCACACACAGAGGAGCTATTATGAGCAGCAAATAACAAAAATGCCAAATCAACAAACAATAAAAGCCCATAAAGCAAAGATACAATAAAGAGTTATTATTAAAGCTTGCTTGCCTGATATTCTCGCTCATTTGTATATGTCATTCTCAAGGTCAAGATTGAAATTCAAAACACCGCCAAACACCGCCTCACAAGTTCAGCAACATCAACCTATACGGAGTTGGCAATTCTTGGAATACTTTGAAGGTGATTTGGCGCAAGTAATTCAAGACGAATGCCGCAATGAAGAATGAAAGACGCAAATGAGGCAACAAGAAAATAATGGCACAGTTGTCGAAACGTGAAATCAGGCAAAACTAACCAAGCAACAATCCGAACGAACACTCTCTAAGCCACGGTCGTAAATCTTACGCTTTGGCTTGTATACACAAAACCACCGCATAGTTCAATAAAAAGGAGGGAGGAGAACCTTTGAAAGAAATGACAGAAAATCAAGCACCAGTAGACAAACCTGCCTTTGATTAGATTTTTTTGGTGGCGCCGCGCTTCGACCGAAACATTAGTTTGATTTCAGAAAAGCTTTAAAAGATTTAAGGAATGTGGAATTTTATTGTAGCAAATTCTTGCTTAAGAGGTTTAATTTGCATCATAAATCTCACTGATTTATACATACATACATACTCTTCCCAAAACACTACAGCACAAACTTACTTGCGAGCGTTCTATAGCTTTGCAATAGCTTGAAGTGTATACCGTCTTGCTCGAGGTTTCGTTTGCTAAAATGCCACAAGCCGATCCACAACAAAAGCACGGCGGACGAGAGCATCTTGAGCACATTAAATACGGTATTAGGCTTAAGCAGGACACAGTTTTATTATTTATTTATTTTTTGTTTATTATTTTTCTGATTCAAAACTTAAATGACTTTAGAATGCGAACTAAAATAATTAAATTCTTCCTTTCGAAGTTCGTTTTAAAGTAGTGCATGGCGAACACTTTTTTTCACTTTCCAAAACGTCTTTCTACATGCACGACCAATACAGTACTCAACGAGAAACCCAAACTTGTGTAGTGACTTCTTTTTTAAATATTTTTATAAAATTTTTATCAGCGATTAAGTACACCCTCCTTGCCGCCTGTCATACCTCGGCGCTCTCACAAACAAATCTCCCCAAAAATATATTTCATTCAGCGGACCTTCATTACACTGTAATCTTTGTTTATAGAATGAGTTTCTTAGTAAACGAAAAGCCTCCTTCCCAATTCATGAACGGCATACCGTTAGAGGCATGAAAGCGGTGCAGGCTAAAGTTTGATAAGCAAATATTCTTTATCTTAACAAGCGCAGCGGCTTTTTATCAGAATTACTATTGAATTGTATTTTTTTTTGTAATTGGCAGAGACTGTTGGCTGAGATAGCGGTGAATAGAATACACACTCTGTCCATGCGCTGAATAAGTTCAGCGCTTACATAGATATTATGTAAGCTGAAAAAGTATAAAAAATGCGGCAACTTGCAAAAGTTCTGTGACCAAAGTTGAGAGATATATTTAGGTAACAAAAGTGATGACCAAGTTTCAGTGGGACATTATAGATCAGATGGGAGAAGACGTTCAAATCATTTTCAGATCGTTCTTTCCTGGTACAAACGCCTGTAAAGAGCAGGTTGACTAAAGGAGGTTGGGTCAAGTAAACGCCCATAAGACTTTTATGACCTTTCCTTATCAACCATTTCTCTTCTATTAATTTTTTAGTTAAGGCAGCAAATCTTTCTTCATCGCAACACCCACTGTTCGAGGAGAACAATTTTCATCCAAAAATGTTCATACCTCACATGGCCTCTCTACACCATTTAATTTTATAAAAAACATAACAAAATCATGATAAATTAACGATATTAATGCATACAAGTGATCCCACGCCTCCGCAAATTGTGCGAAATTGAAAGACAAGCAAAGCACGAACCTGAACTGGCCTCCGCTGGCAAAGTCAAAAGCAGGTTGCAGCCAAAGAGTAAAAGAAATAAATGCAAAAAGAAGAAAAAAAAAATGCAAAATGCAAAATTTGAATTAAAAAATAAAATTGCAAGTGAAGGTGGCAACGTGTTTTGCATTTTTAATCCGCAAATTTCGACTTCATTAAAGTCGTAGCGCAACCGACGAACACCGGCGATTGTTGTCCACCAGCGAACGACCAAAACACTCTGGCACCGCTATTACTGCGCAATTTCGCTGAAAATTTCTACCAACTTTTTTTGGTAGCAACAATAATTTCATTCATTGTTGTCTACTGCATGGTCACTCAGCGCTGAGTGACTTCTTGGTATTTGCACACCAGCTTGATGTTGCTTTTACCGCATGCGCTACCGTAAAGATATGATGATGCTTTGTAATCGGCAACGACTGCTGTATTTATCTTATTGCTGTTGTTATTGTTTTTGTTGTAATTTTGTTGTATTTTAAACAAAAACCGCCTACTGAGAGCATAGGTTGTGGCGCTGATTGCTGCCACTCAACGACCATATCGGGCAACATTGTTTGCCAACTGCGTTGTTGTTGCTGTTGTTGATTTTGAATTTTTAATGCAGACAGTTGCAACTCATTGCCACGTTCAAAGCAACAGCGGCCACAATGGCGGCGATGTTCAAGTGACTTCCTTCCTTACAGTCACGCAGCTGTTTCTTATTCTTCTTCGGAGACCGCTCACTTTTCTCGGGCAGGCCCTAATGCGCAACGGTTGCCAATAGTTACGCGTGCTCCCACTTGTTTTTAGTTATTTTTTTATTTTTATTTATCTTTCTCAGCCACAGTAACTCAACGCTCGACTACGCTTTGTTGCCAGACTTGATTGGTTCGTTTCCACGCCACCTTCACGAAAATAATTTAGTCATTAAATTTGACACACATAAATACACGTGTGCGGCGGCAAACAAGTACACACGCATTCAGAATATATATGTATATGATTATAACCCGATTTCGAGTTGAGTATGCTCGTATACCCTGAAGGGAAAGAGACCAATTATTAACCAAAGAACTATTTATTTGTATGTACGTGTATGTTACGAGCTTATATTTTTAACTTTGCGATGCATTAGGCAGTTATCAATTGTCCACCTATACAACAACTTCATACTAGTTAAACACTAGTTCATTTATGAGCTGCACACTCCAACAGAGCTAATGAAAAAATGAGACACCCCTTTGAGGAGGCATAAATTAAGTCAACATACCAGTGGCTTAGTGGTGGAAACTATGTTCCTCTCAATTTCAGAGTAAGTGCTGCATATTTGCTAACAAAAAGCGAACTGGTATGAATTCATACTGAAAATACTAGTTTCCAACTGGTATTTTATATACTAGCTTAGCTTTTTTCTGCAGGGTATAACATATATACCTATGGCATATGCAAGTAGGAATTATGATCGATGGACAAGAAAATGCCATTTACTTTTAGCGGCTTGAATAGCTGTCAAGTGTTGTTCTTGTTAACTCGTATTGAGTTTGCTTGCCCATTTTTGACTGCAATTTAGACTGCAATTTTTTATTTGTATTTATGTTTTCACTCACTGGCTGTTTCAATAATTGGCACTTGGATTCTTGTGTTTTTGTTTATTTTTCTTCTGATGTTGTTGTATTATTTTCATTTTGATTTCAATACCATGTTTTGAGGCAGCCTTTTGATTGCTAATAGTTGCATTGCCGTTTTTTGGTTAATTTAAAATTAAGTTGTAAGTTTCTTTGATGCCTGTGGGAGTTTGGCGCCGCGTTTTGTGGCACCATAAAAGGTTAATTATTACCAAATCTTCGTCGAGATTTTTTTTCTATAGGGCATGAGAATTTGTTGGAAAATCTCATAGTGGATGCCTTACGAGATGACATGTATACATTTACATTTACATCTAATATACACCCACATCCATACATAAAAAAACGAAAACCTAATACACCTTTTTTACACATCTCAAAAATCAATAGTATAGAATGAAGGAAAAATATAAAAAATAGCATAACATGACTTTGGACAGCATAAGGTAAATAATTGGCATTAAATTCAACGAATTTATGATATCCAAGATTCAAAAGTGAGAGCGCGTGACATAAATGGCAGCAAAACGTTTGGCAAATTGCTCGAGCAAAGCGCCAAAAAGAGCTTTTGCAAATTGGGTACGAAAATAAAGTAATGTATGTACAAATGAATGTGTTAATATTTATTTATGTTAAGCTAACAAATGCTATATATTGTACTATGTATGTTTTGTCAAGAGCTACGTGCAGCTGCAACAGCCAATAAGCGATGCTGGCATATTGCAACAACAAAATGACTTTGCTGAAAAATATAATATTAAAAAAAAAGGTTTTTGTTTTACTGACGGCAACAATGTTGCAACATTGAAGCACAGCAACCCACGCAGCATGAACACACACAGCTGCTGCCAACACACATCTACATATATGTAAGCAAGCATATGCATTTAAAGAGAAAACATATAGATATATACCAAAATTGGCAAAGTTGCTGTTGCGTATTTTTCATTTTATTTTTAATTTTTTTTTTTTTTTTGCTTCCTTAAACTTCAATATGAAACACATTGCGCTCACATGGAAAAATTTGATCAACCTAAAATAAAAGCCACATAAACAAGAATCCAAAAAATTGATGACGTAAAATTTATGGCAGCAATTTCCGTTGCAATAATACACATGTATGCGTGTTGCTGGAGGTGGCAATCGTACAAGTGGCAAGTGGTGAGGAAAAATAAAAAAATTATGGTACGCGCACACACAAACCTTGTCATTTTTATGTGCATGAATAGTGTAAATTGAGACGTTTAATAGCCGCAAGCAGTTAACAAAAATATTTTGTTTCGTAATAAAATTGTTGTTTGTAATTTTATTTCTGTTTCTTTTTTTTATTTACTAATTTTTTTTTCCTTAAAATCCTAAAATCTCAATGGATGATGAGTTACAGCCATTACCACTTTGGATTGGCAATAAATAAATCATTATGAATTCGTAATTACCTTTGGCGCCCACACAGCCGAAAACAGTTAATAGTATTATTTAATTAACTAGCGAGGGTAGTAGTGGTAGCAGCAGCGAGAGCAGCAGCAACACCAACTACAACGGAATTAGTATAAATTGTCGGTTAACAGCATGAGACCGGATGTTGAGGCAGAATATCAAATCAGTGCTAGTTTTCGAAAGATTTGCTTAGAAAGATTGTAGAGAAAAATTCAAAATTTATTTAAAAACAAATTTAAAAAACAACTATTTCGAAAAAAGCAACAAATTAAAATTAAGTTTTTCCGTATTGCTGTGCATTCAATTATTTTTATTTTTATAATACGAAAGCAAGCTTCCGAGTACATGATTAGAGGCTCCCAACGAAATTTATTCAGTCTTAACTTTTCTAAAATAATAAATTTGTAGGAAATTAGATTAAAATAATAAAATATCAAAAATGTGCATTCCACAAACATTTGTCTTGCTGCCAGAAAACGAAAAAAATATTGCACCATTTAAAACCAGATTTGCTCGAAATAAGCCAAATTATAGTTTTATACAACACAAAGCTAAGTCGAATGCAACTTCATTGCAAGTCCACCTACGCTCGTCTAGAAATCAGCGAAAAAAAGTTTACGAATACATACAAGCATTATTAAAAACAATTAAGTTGATTGTGTCTTGTAGGTGTATTAACCAAATAAAAGCGAGCAAAAATGTTACTATTTATTTGATATTATTATTTTTTTTTTTTGTACAAATGAAGCTTGTTTATAGTTTAATTCATATACAATCAGTGCACCTTGTCACTGGTAGCAAAAATATGTTGTTGAATTAGACAATTTTGGCTAAGAAATTATCTTTATTTATGGTATTTTGGTGACTTCATTCACTAAAAAAAAAAACATTGAAAACTACAAACCAAAATGACAGTATTCATATTCAAGAAATTATTCCTACGACGACCGTCACCAACACTTATTTTTCAAAAAAAAATATATTTTGATTCAGTTATAACATTTACTTTTATTAATATCGGCCTTGATTGATCAAAAAGCTACAAAAAATGATTTGTGCCTTGTTGTTAACGGTCTCTTAAAGCCTCAAAGTATCAATTTCATTAATCTATACACCCCAAGGGCAATTATGTTATGATAAATGCCAAGAAATTTATATTGTAATAATTATAATTCTTTTATAAATGATTTACTTTTTTATTTTTTTTTTTTGTTAATTTTCATTTAATTAAATTTATTGTATTTTAAATTTCTTAAGTTTTTACTTATTAAATTTATTTATTTATTCATTTCTTTCTTTCTTAGTTTCATTTTTCTTTCTTTATTTGTTTGCTTCCTTCTTTCTTTTTTTTACTTATTCATTTATTTATTTATTTATTTATTTAGTTATTTAATTATTTATTTATTTTTTTAATTATTTATTTGTTTATTTATTTATTTGTTTATTCATTTATTTATTTATTTATTTATGTATTTACTTATTTATTTATTTATTTATTTATTTATTTATTTATTTATTTATTCATTCATATATTTATTTATTTTGTTATTTATTTATTTATTTATTTATTCATTCATATATTTATTTATTTTTTTATTTATTTATTTATTTATTTATTTATTTATTTATTTATTTATTTATTTATTTATTATCCATATATTTATCTCCGTCTTCAAAATAATTTTTGCAAAATATTGCTTACATTATTTTTATATCAAAGTCATTTTTTATAAAACAATATTATTAGATCATCAAGAACACACGTCAATGCAATCAAAGATTAATTATTGACGGTCTCTTATTGTGAGAACAGTCAAGATCAGAAATTGATTCACTAATGGAATGGAAGTCGATTCATTGTTTGTTACACAAACATAATAATTCGAAAAGTATTTAAGTAAATGCGCTTGAATGAAATGAAGAATAAATGATGAGTGAAAATCAAATAATAAAACAATCTGGTTAACCAAGCTGACATAGCTCTTGAGTGCTTATGTAAAAGTGTGAGAGAGAATCTTGACTTTAAACAAATTATTTAAAAAAGTTAAATGCAATACCCATATTTTTTTTTATAAAATTAAATGAAAATAAAAACTACAACATTATTAAAGAATTCTATTCCCAGAAGTGAAAACAACTCACCATTTTCATCACCAAACAAACGCGGCGCATTACGCATCACCACTGACCTGCAAAAAAAGAGGAGAAAATAATATAAGAATTTAATTAATATGCAATTCAGTTAATTAATTTCCGTTACAACATGAGCTTATTACTTCAATGAGATCCAGTGAACAAAAATAAGAAAATAAGTTAGACCAAACTCCTTGAAATCGAGCAACATTTCACGCATCATTCAACAACAGCAACATGCATCATCAACAAACAGTTGCAACAGATTTCATAATTAATTGCATTGGATGTGGCAAAGAAATGTAAAGTGATGGCAGTGCCAACCAAAAGCAAAATAAACACATACGAAATTATTATTGTGGCTGCTGGCGGCGATCAGTTGGCTGGAGCTACTTTGAGGTGAAGATAAATGAATTTGATTATAAGTTCGGTCAAATGAATACAAGTGGAATCTATGAATATGTATGAGTGAAAATATGTGTTTTATATGAGATAAGGTTTTTTGATCTTAAAAATTATCTACAAAATTTCCCGTCTCAACTTTCCAATATATTCTCAATAATCTTGGTCAACAACAATTTTTAATAAATTTATTTTTTAGTTTCGTATATTTCTTTTCATCTCAACGGTTTCCCTACTCTTAGCACTTTCATATGCCCCTTTTTATCTATCTTTCTGTTTATTGTCTTCATATTTTTATTTAGTCTATTTTTATATTTAAGTGTCTGCCACTTTATAGCCATTTCCCATTTTTCATTTTACTCCGAAATACATTTTACGTGTAACATGCCTCCAAGTGTTGCACTGTTTTCAATTTTTTCTAAATTCCAGCATAATTAATTTCGATTGTCTGGAAAATAGTTTCTCAAGCAAGGGTAATCTCAAGGTATTTCACGTTTTGACTTAAAAAATGCATTCTAATCAATTCATAATGCTTTTTTGGTGTTTGCTGTTAGGAGTCAGCAGAAAAGTCAACAAAAATAAAAAAGTATTTTAATTTAGAAATAATTTGCTTGGTGAACATCATAGTCGACAAAAGGAATTTTTTATAGTTTTTCAAATATAAAAAAAAAATTTATTTGCTCCAATAAAACACAAAAAGGAAACTGGTATTTAATTCGATTGATTGTTTTGACATTAATCCACCTCAAGCCGTGTCTTACAAATAGAACAAGCTAGCAGATTTTACAACAAACATTATTTAGATATGAACAAAGATAGTGAAAGAATAAACATGAACTTGAGCTTGGCTTAAGATTCTAAATAAAATACAAAAAGACCTAAGAACAAAGGCCACACCTGCCCGTAGGGAAATCAGCTTACAACAAAAAATCTTATGAAGCAAATTAGCGAAACATGTATAAAATAATGTTTTATTAATTAATAAATTGTATAAAATTTATTTCGTTCTGTTTTCATCTTAACACCCATTCGCTTTCATTTGTAGCCCCCTTTGCTCTTATCACCTACTCGGCAACCACTTTCACTCGGAGTCTAAATGGAAATTGTAACATTTAAGTCTTCATACCTCCAGAACCGACGCACGGCTTCCTGTTCGCCAGGCGATAGATCTTTTATTTTTGCCTCGAAATTTTGCTCCCACTCTGTTGTGTTAGCAACTGTTGTTGTTAACATTTCGTTTGGGTCAGGCGCTGACGATAAAATCGCCGATGACACATGGTTGGCATTATTTAATTGATTTGCGCTGGTGACACTCATTATTGCAAACGATTGATAAAAAAATACACTATCGGCAGGTGATCGCCGAAATTCGCTCTACTTTATTATTTTTGACTTTTTTGAATATCTGTTGGGCGCAAGCGGGCTGGAAAACTTTGAGGCAGTTCCCCTTTATAATGAATTTTATTTACATTCAACTCATTGTTTTTTATTTTTTTTTTCAATTAATTTTTATTTGCTTTATTTTTCTTATTTTATTTCTGATTTATTAAGTTTTGATATTTGCTATTATATTTTCTTTATTGGTTTTCACACATATACTTGTCAGCTTTTCGCTTTTTTATTTACTCATAAATTTTTGTTTACAACACTCAACTGTCAGAGGTAATGAAAATCCCACTTTAGACCGATAAGGAACAGTTGGGCGAAGCTGATAGTAGTTTACAAAAATATCTAGATGTATGTATATGTTAGGGCTATATATTTTAAGATGTAATATATGGTTGCACATAAATTTAATATTATTTTTAGATATACTCCAATTTATTTTATTTCTTTTTTATTTTATTTATTTTATTTATTTTGTTTATTTTTTCATAATTATTTATTTTTTAAGCAGTGTGATTCATTTTAGAATTTTATTTAAAGATATTTCAACAAATCGCACTTTAAACTCACTCAACTCACATGCACTTATTACTTTGAAAAGTTGTAATTTTCTACAGAAACACAATTCATTAACACACTTGTACTTGGCTTTTAGCGCACTTTGTACGAGCTACAGCACGCTAAAACGTTTGCATTATATTATATTTGCTCTTTAAACATACAGAATGTAGTTTTATTTCCTTTTGCGATTATCTTTATTTTCTTTACAATTACTTATTTATTATGTTTTTTTTAAACCTTTTGCCGCACTATCAATATCGCAAAGCATTCACTTAGCAACACACGCGTGCCCGCCGATGAGTGATCGATCGTTCGAACGTTCGACCATTTCGTTTCCACAAAGTCAACCGCACGCCAAATGCGTTCAAACCAGACTGAATTGGTAGACGCTCTCGTTGAATGTAGCACCTAATCACACACACACACACACACACACATGCACACACGCTTCACCTCACCAAAAGCGTCTAAAGACCAACTGCTATGCGGCTGACTAACTCATTAGCTCGAATGACTTAATGACGCTGTGAAGTCGCGAAGTGCCTATTTGACTGACTGTCGCCTGAGTGATCTTCTAAGCAAAGCATCCACTGTGGCCAGCAGTATATCAGCGTATGTGCCAGCTGTTGATGAATCTCGCTGACTGCTGCACCAGTCGTTCATCATTTTGCGCGCGCTGCATTGCTCATCTTTCATTCGGCGCTACTTTTTTTTTGGAATCACTTCTTTTTATTTCCTGCTTTATTATTTTACTTTTGCTTTTATTTCTATTATTGTCCCTCGTCACTCTCTAGTATTTATTTAGGCACTTTGAAGTATTTTTTTCTTCTTTTGCGGTTAGAGAATGATTTTGTGCTGTAACCGCAAGAAATCACTGACTGCTGCCACTAAACTGACTGTCGTTTGAATGGTTTGGAACTTTGCAAGCCCAACAGCAGACAGGCAATCAGCAGACGGCCAAGTCAGCAGAAAATGAAAATGCGCAGAAGGTCTTACACCCTTCATAAAGTGGTCTTCTAATTTTTTTTAAATCCATTTTTATATGAGCTTAAAATGCCTGATTAAGAGGATATGCTTTAATTTAAAATTCTCTATCAAAAAATCAGTTTAAGAATCCTACACTAATATCTGGCCGCATATTCCGGATATCGATACCCAAGTCACAGTTCATCCTCGTGAAGGGTATAAGAACAAATTGGCTGTGAAAGATTGTTAAAACAAAAGCGTTCAACGTTGAGCACCGTGTAGCTATAACAACAACAAAACCAAGTGGTAAAGAAATATACACAAAGTATCGCCACACAAACGGCTGTATGTGTGTGTTTGAGTGTGTGTTTTGAAAAATGTAAATACGATACGTTAATTAATAATGCTTACTGATTTATATACATTCTCATATGAGCTAAGCTAAAGTAGGAAGCAAAAACTTAACCCGACTTAATACAGCTGAACTGAGCTCTGAGAATTATAACACTCAAGAGTCAAGGCAACACACAAGCTGGAGCTCTCTTAAAACAAAAGACTCAGAATAAGCAAATAAAACCAGTTTCACAACGCCAGTGGCTCCAGCTAACAAAGCTCAGTTTACAGTGATGCTGACGACAAGCATTATAAACACTCTATTTTATGCCTATTCGAGTAATTGAAGAGGAAGAGGAAGAAAAAAATAGAATTAAAGAAATCTAAAAATTTAAGCACAAACGGTCACAAAAGTCAACCCCTGCGTCAGCGTCAACTCCCAGGCGTAAACTAAAGCTTGTATTTGTTGGCACAGAGGTGATTGTAAATAAAGATGTGTATGTATGTAAGTATGCTTATGTTTGTAAATATTGATATGTTTATAAATTGTCTAAAGTGCTGACTGATTACTTAATATTACTGATTGCTGAGTATTTGTTGTTGGTTAAGTTGTAAGTATAACAACGCCTATATACATACATATGAATGTACATGCATATATATATATAGACAAATATAGTTTTCAACTCGACCGTTAACCGATAAGCGATTGCACATTTAAATCAACAGAGCACATACACACTCACGGTTTTTTATATGTAACGGATGCGAGTGACACTTACATACAAGCGCTTGGTCAAACACCTGTATATACTGCAAGTACAAGTATGTGGTTTTTGTTGTTATTCGCTTATGTTATATAATTTTTATCTTTGCACTTTAATTGCTATCATTTTTATTGCAGTTATATTTATATAATATTTTTTTTATTTTTCTTGTTTTCTTTCCTGTGTCTTATGACGCCTAATTGTATGCTTCTCAAAAAAAGAAATAAAACAAAAAGCTAATCCCCTTTATTTTTTTTGCATAGACCAAAAATTAGATTAAAATTTTATTTGCATACATACTTGTATATATAGCTAATTTTTTATGTAAAGGGTATAAGACGGGCAATTGTATCCTTCCTTGAGAAACGGCGAGCAGAGGACAGCTGAAGTGAAACCAACCTGAACACAATGAACTTAAACCTCAGTTGATTTTAGGATCTACTAAAACAATAAAAATTTGCCTTTAAATTGAGAATACATCGAAGTCTTTCTCAGCAGGTGACAACTCTTGTTAATAATATTTCCACACAAAATACTACCAAAATCCATTTAGTTTGAAATTCGTCTTGAAACACTTTATTATTATTTTTTATTTTTTTATTAAACAAAATACAGCATGTGACAACTCTTCTTAAGAGATTATAAATTTTCTTAAATTTAATTTATTTGAGACCTACTCTATTACCTATATTTTCTTATCATTTTATTAGAAAAATTTTATAAACATATGGCAACTCCTCTGAAAAATATTCCCAGCTGAAAAACTTTTAAGCAATTCTAGTTTAATACAAATATGGTAGAGTTTCTAATTACCACGAGTAATATTAATATTATATCCTATTTCTTTGACTAAAATTTTTGAAACAAGTGGCCACCTTTTACAATTTTTCTTTGCATTCTTTTCCTTTATCTAACCAGCCATACTTTTTATTAAACGCTTCCCTTAAGTATACATCGTACCTTGAGCAATTTTTGTTTGCATCACCCCACCTCGAATGTCAAAAAGTTCAAAAATGTGTCAAGCAGCAATAACAATAATGAGCAGCAACAACAACAACAACAACAACAAAATCCGAACAAATAATCATCTCCAAAAACCATTATCAAGCATGTCATCATCTTCATCGTCAATTTCTAACCTCAAGCAGCCAGACATTTATAGCCTTCTACGACAACAACATTAAAGTATGATCATTAAAAGAGAGGGAAAAACAAAAATCGAAATCACAAAATAATAATAACAACAAACGTGAAAAGAATTTGACAACACCGCCGAGAATAATTTTGATTTCATTCAGCTTGTTAAACTAACAGAAAAACGACAAAAAAACATAAAAACAACAAAAGTCATAATAATAGCAAAACATGAGCGCTCAAGAGTCTATAAATACGATTCCCCTCTCCTCTCCCTCCTCCCCACCAATGACGCTCTCGTACACAAGCGCGACATAATTTTATTTCAGCCAACATTTTTAACTCATTTGAAGCTGTGCCGGTACAGTGTCTTACATCATTTAAATTTCAAAAAAAAAATGCTAATTTTTCAAAACGGATATTTGAGCTTAGTAAAGAGAAATACAAATATACAATACAAAAAAAATTCATTTATAAAAATTTTAAATTAGACACTAAGAAAAACAAAAAAAATGTTAAATTATTTAAAATTGCATAAAATGTTAAAATATGTTGAGGAAACTATGAAAAATGGGCAGCGCATACAAAGTGTTCAAACACGAGCGGAAAAAGCTCTCGCATTCATTCAACGCGAAAGTGTCAAAAATGTCAATCAACACAGATGTGATCTACTGCAAAGTGCCGCTTGCAGAGCACATTTGACGCTCTTCCGTTTATGTTCTTTTCATATTAACAGTTCCCAATTGACATGTTGACAATTTGACAATTGTCAGCGGTTTTCAGGTTTCCAGTGGCAACATGAGAAATTATGTATATGTGTTTGTATATATATATATATATGTATATGCTATATGAAATTATGGGAGTTTTTTTTATTTAGTTTGACTTACTCATTCCACTTTAGCATAAATTAATAAATTAATTTTTTCCGTTTTTTATTTTAAGTTCTAACAATTTTTTATTGATCTTCTAAAGAAAACTATAAAATTAATTAATGTTTTTTTTTCAGGCTATTGGGATGCCAAGTTCAATGAAGTTCATTTATGGCAAATAAAAATACTTAACTGAACTCTTATTGCATTTGCTCTAGTTAAATTATAATCAGCTCTTAGCCAGCTGTAGTTGACTATTTTTTCTAATCAAAGTTTGGCAATAAAATTTAATTGATAT